GCTGTTTCTTCTGCCGCATTTTAGAGTTTAATCGCTGTCAGCGGCTCCAGATTGTATGGGCAGTTAGGGGCCGTCTTTGGTTTGGCTAAATCTAGCTAAACATCGAACTAGCTTTGTCCGGGCACCCACATGGTGCCATGGTGCTGTCCCCTCTACCCCTGGTCCGCTTTGGACAGAGCTCCTGTGCGAGTACGAGTACGAGTATTCGTATTCGTATTCGTATAATTGCAATTTCCATTCAACTGTTTGTTCGTTTGTGGCCCTGTGTCCCTGTGTCCCCGGCTTCAATTCATTTGTTTGTTTGGCTTGTTTTTGCGGTTGTTAGTGCCCATCATAAATTGCTGGAATTGGGAGCTATGGGTGCTCTGCTCTCTTGGGTGCCTCTGAGGGAAGGTGGAGCTGCCCCGGCTAATCGGTGGCGTTTCATCTGCGGCCCGTTGTCCTGTTGGGGGCTTGTTCGGCTGTCGTCGCACGCATAATTAGGCCTGAGGACAATCGTTTCGTTCGCCCCACTGCAAGAAATAGCTGCAACTTTTGTATTTCCATGGAGCACACTCCGCTGCATCTGTGTGGAGTTTTTGGCGAGTGCAATTTTGGTCAAATAATTGCCAACTGGAAACAATAAGCTCGTTTTTCGCTCCACTCGTCCGCTTGCCGAGGGCAATCGTGGCATCTTAATGCGCCCCTGACATTTAAATAGATGCTAATTCCCTTCATAACTGAGCCTCGACTTTGCCGATCTAATGAATTGGAACTCTCTCTCCGCTCTCCCGCTCTCTCTTGCTCTCACCACTCTCCACTGTCTGAACTCACGACCCAACGAGACTGAGTCTCTTACCAGCTTTAGCACTTCCTGCTGGCCGCTTTCTTTGCGCGTGAATCCGTGTAACCGCAGCGCTTACACATCCCAGAAATGGCGGGGGCAAAAAAGCGGCAAACAGAAAACAAAACTGTGATTTGACCAAAAACAGAAAGCCGGCCAGAAAGCTTGGCGGATATAAACGCTTTAAGACTCCATATTGTGATGGCAGGCCCGGGGCCCGGCCCGGATGCGACGACAACGACGACAATTGTGGAAGACCAAATGGCCAAACTCCACCAGCACCAGCTACAGCCCCAGCTACAGCCACAGCTACAGCTCCAGCAAATGTCTACGCAGTGGAGGTTGTGTGTCTTCTTCTGCTGGTTGTTCGTTGTTGTTCGGTTGTTTGGTTGTTGTTGCTGTGCTGCTGCTTCGTGTCAACTGACTTGGGCCCTGGCTTTCGGCTTTCTGGCTTTTGTTTTCACAAGCCGCCCCATTTTGCTTGCCCACGTACCCCATACCGATGCCGATGCCATTTGCCCCAACGTTTCCTGTGGTTGTGATTGTGTGATTCCTCCTACAAAATCAAGCAACAGTGGTCTGCGATAGTGATTTACTATAGCTCTTTGCAGGCAGCTCCCTTTACATATTGTTCGGCTCAAAGCTGCCCCTTGAAAAGATTGATTTAACACACAAAACAAGACCAAATTCCATAAATATTCAACCAGAATACACTCATTCAAGTCCTTAATCTTATACGGGCTGTTTCTTCCTGTATTAAGCCCACTGTCATCACTGGCCCGTCCCGTTCCCTGGGCAATTGTGCGTTAGATTTAAGTGCTTTCGTTTGCCAGGCTTAATTTGCATTTTTATTTTTATGTTTTCATTGAAAGCGCCAGCATCAATGGAGCCCGCTGACTTCAGCATATCCGAGCCGAGCCGAGCCGAGTGGCTGCGAGTGGATCTGAGTGGAGTGGAGTGGAGTGCTGAGGCGAGCACATTTGGCTATTCCTTTGTTTTCGGCCTTAAGTTATCAGTGGCGGTAGATGTACACGGCATCAACGGTAGCAGCAGCAGCAACGGCAGCAGCAACGGCAGCATCAGCGGTAACAGCAGCAACATGCAACATGCAAAATGCAAATGTTTATTGGCCAAATGCTGAACGATCTCAACGAGCTAAACTGAGAATGGGTTAACACTGTTTTAGCTGTTTTGCTGCTGCTGCTGCTGCTGCTGCTGTTGCTGTGGCCTGTTCCTTCTTTCATTGGCTCGAAGCGGGTGCTGACTGCCACACAGTTGTCGCCTTTTGTTGTGGCAACAACCATTTTGGTAAAAACAACTAATCAATTGGCAAATGTGCCATCCGTCAATCATTGAGTCAGTCGCGCTGGTGGTGTAGGTCACACGACACCACACGAGCGGTGGCGGTGGCGGTGGCGCAGTGGAGTTGCAGTTGCAGTTGGACGTGCATCCAGTGGATGCAGTGGATGTGGCAGCCACCGAATTGACTCGCATTCACTTTTGGGGCAAATAAAATGCCACCTTGGTTGTGAATGTCAGTTAGCCAATTTGAAAATTCATTCATTCAATGCTTTGACGACTGACTGACGGACTGACTGACGGACCGACTATTGCCAACAAACATTTATTATTAGCCTTTCCCAAATTGCCTATTTTTGGAGCTGCTGATGGCCACACAGCAGTGGCAGTGGCAGTAGCTGCGGCAGCAGCAGCAGCAACAGCATCAGCAACAACAACAGTGGCAACAACAACAACATGCCGCACATATCACAGCAAGACAAATTTCTATATAATTGCATTTGTCGCAGGCTCTCGAAGCCAGCCAGCAAGCCAGCCGGGCAGCGAGGCCAGATCGGACCAGACAATGCCCGGCATTATTTCGATATAAATTGCATGCCATTGGCCCGACCAGTGGCATTCCATCCAACCAATTGCCAACTTCGGGTCCGATTCCGATACCGAGTTGAATCGGTATCCCCCAACCCAACCAGGGGCAGGGTTCCCGCTCCTGCCCCGGCTCTCAGCTCTCAGCTCTAATTGTCATTTAATGAGACACGCTCGGCATTTGCGCACGACACACGACTATCAATTTGGCAGGCCAGCACCAGCACCAGAAGCATCAGCATCACCATTACCAGCAGGGGAGGGGAGGGGCAGTGGCACTGCTCGTATCACAAGCAGGAGCTATCGATGGAACTGTTCGAATCGCTGACAAAACCAACTTGTCGTCGTCCTGCTGCTGTCTGTTTTGATTTACAGTCCCCTGCGCAGGCAGTGCTTTTGTTTGCGAAGCAAATTCAAATTGCATTTTGGCTGATGCACAAATGGACTCTGCTGTGGGTGTGGCACAGTTATCGTGCATTGAATTTTCGATTGTAGTAGCACTGATGAATGGCTTACAACCTGAACTCTTTAAAGAAATAGTTGCAGCGTTAAAAGACTTGATTGAAATGTGTGTTCAAACCATTCCTAGTTTCCATTCAACAGAATCGAATAGGATATAATCTATTATCTCGAAATTTGCTCTAAAAGTAAAGAGATCCCAGATATTATTTATGGTTCTATAAATTTCGAACCCTTTAATCTGATAATAATAAATGTGAAAAGTATAAACATGATTCAACCCCTATATAATCCAAGCAGAGAGCTTTCTTCCGTCAAACCTCTCAATGGAGACATTGTCAGTGCACTTTTCAAGAGCCTCCGTGGCGCAATTGGTTAGCGCGTTCGGCTGTTAACCGAAAGGTTGGTGGTTCGAGTCCACCCGGGGGCGCATATAAATTTTTTTCAATTTTGTTCTCCTTTTTTTATTTATAAGCTAATTGTTTTTTTGTTTGTTAATGTTTGCTTAAATTATATTTATTTCTCTTTTCGCTTTGTGCAGCGAATGTTAATGATGTGTTTAACAGAGTGAAATCGTGTGTTGTGCGTTGTGTGGTCTGTAATTAAATCCGAAAAGTGGCGAACAGATAAGATAAATAGCAAATAAATATCAATTGATATTTACTACCGCTGATTTACGAGCTCGTTGGGTGGGTTTATTGGTTCCTTCCGTTTGACTTTGACTTTGTTGCCAAGCGCTGGCCTGTCACTCTCTAACCTCTACACGAGCAGCTCCACTTACAGGCCAAAAGCTGCCTTCCTCTTTGTGCACCTCTGCCTCTGTCAGCCACTTGATGCCACTGAAAAGCCCGCAAGCGTAACCACAGTTGCAACTGTGGCTGCTGGTGCTGGTGCTGCCGCTGCCGCTGCCGCTACTGTTGCCAAGTATATCATGGCAACTTGGAGACAGTTTGTCGTCGTTGCTTTTGCTAATTAAAATGTCTTGGTGCTGTCACTCAAAAGGCGGTCGTCTGATCCACTGGCCAAGCGACTGGCTGGCAGCAGACGAACGACAACGATGACGACGACGACGACGACGCCCATTTTAGTCAGCGGCAACAATGCGATTTTGCCTTTTGCTGCTGCTGCTGCTGCTGCTGTAGCTGTAGCTGTGGCTGCTACAATTTCATTGGAAGTCTGTGGACGGGGCACGCGGCGTATGCGCAATGCCATTGCGATCTCCCTCGCACAAAATGGCGATCGCATTGTTACAGTTTGCAATTATTTTGATTTATTTTTTGTTCGCTCCGTTCGCTGCCAGTGCCTTCAGTACTGTCTGTCCCTGCCCCTGTCCCTCCCCCTGCCAGTGCCTCAGCCTGTGGCACTAATCAAAATTAAAATGACGCGAACGATACCAGACAAGGCGATGCCACGGATGATGTCCCCGCGCTGTGCACGTCGCCGTCGCCGGCCAGAGAGTCAGAAATCAATATTCTAAATTCTTTAACGCGTGTGCACATTTAAGGCAACGCCAGCTCATTGAGATGCGTGCCGGCGAACAGCCTGGCCAGCACTTATACGCAATTTCGCGCCATATTTGGTCCAAACATATTGGATTTTTTGTCAGGCACTGGGCTGGCATATAGAACAGGCCCCAGGCCAAGACCCAGACCAGGCCACAACCAGACCAAGCCAGATCAGGCAGCCAGCCAGCCAGCCAGCCAGGCCCAATCATCCTCAACTTAGCTCTGGCTTAAGATCAGCAGAAGCAGCAGCAGCAGCACCAGACTGTTTGGCTGCACAGCAAAGAACCCCACTAATCGAGTGTCTATCTTTCTTTCTGTCTTTCTTTCAGGATGATCGATCGCCAACATCGTCGGGCAATGAGTCGGACGACTCTTCGGACGTGGAAATGCCCGCTGAAGTGTCCGAAGTGGTGGCCACAAAACTGCCAGCCAGTCAGAATCCCAGCAAAACAGAGGCAACTGCAACAGCAACGACATCTTCAGGTGCACCTGCAATTGCAGCAGCGGCAACGTCAGTGGCCGGCTCCAAGCCGATGCCAGCACTGAACTATCAGACTGAGAGCGGACCCTCAACGTCCACGGCAGCAACTACCGGAGGATCGCCGGGGGAGGGCAAATATGTCTATCCGGCAGCCTCCTTTGCCAACATACCCCCAAAAATGTTGAGGCAACTGATACAGACGGGACACTTGCAGCTGCACGCTGAGGAGGGTAAGTACTCCAAAGCTTAACAGAGTCCGTGCCCATAGATTTCACGAGTGTCTCCTCCCGACAGATGGCAACCAGTATGTGACAATCCCGCTCAGCTCCACGGCAGCCAGCCTGATCAAGGGCAACAAATTGACGGCCTCATCGTCCAGCGGTGGCCCTGGAGGAGGAGGAGGAGGAGGAGGAGGATCCACTGCTGTCAAGTCGGAGCAAACTCCCGAGAAAGCAACGCTGATCATTAAACAGGAATATGATTAGCACCCCGCTACGACCACTGCTTGCCCAACACTGAGAATAGCGTTTATCAGCACTGGCCCACAACAACGGGGGCAACAGCTGCAACAGGGGATCCACAGGGGATCCACTCTCCGCAAAGTCTATTTAAAGTTTTCACGATCGCCTGCTAACTCTAAGTCATACTACTACGAGTATATCCAATATTATGTCGTACATAAACTATTTTTATACCTATATAAAGGGAAGAGAAAAAGCAAACCCTGCCAACGGCATATCTACATACATACATACATACATGAAAACTATACGTAAGTTTAAAAATGTTCTGCAAGCTATGAAGGCATCAAATTGAGTTCGAGATCCCGTTGAATAAAGATCGGATGAGTAAGGAGAGGAGAGAGAGAAGGATAAGGATAATGAATAGATGGATGAGGATGTTCCTAAACCGCAGAGGTCAAGTTGCTTTGTTAAAAGTTTATATTGTTTTATTATATGATATACAATACATAAATATATATGAAACACTTTTTTTGCATAAAAAACAAATTGTGAATGTTTATTTTATCGGAGCGCTACAAGTACTAAGTGCTAAGTTTTAATGGCTAAACATGATAAATGCCTCTTAAAAATGATTTTTATTCATTTAAAGCATTGATAGGAATCGCCCCCTAAATGACACTTCCATTCAAGAGATACTCTGCAACACCTACTCTACGTACAAGTCCAAACAGTCGAGTTAAGGAATTTGTGGGCACTTACCGAGCCTTGGCCACGCCCCACACCTACTAGCACACACACACACACGAATGGGCAGGTAGGAAGGTGAGACGTATCTGTGGGAAGGCTTGGATTAAGCACACTCACAAAAAGTGTGCGAGACAGACAAATGCCTTTTGGTATTTAGCCGCTTGATGGATGTCCATGTTGAGTATTTTAGTATTGTGCAATTGATTGATTGACGACATCATCCCATTGACACTTAACCTAATTAAACGTCGCTCATTACTTGCTACTAGCGGAGGTATCCACACAGCCCACCGCACCACACAGCCCCGCCGCACCGCAGCAGCGCCGCACCTGTTACTGCCTACGGATGACGACTGTCTTGGGGAGGGGGGTGGAGCGACGCGGTTGCGCTTCCGCTTCGGCTGGGGCACTTTGCATGCGAGGAACTCGGCGAGGGACACACAGACACAGGCGCAACGTGTGGCACATACTAATGGCAGCTGGTGAGTGGTTAAGTGTGGACGACCTGGGCGGTGAATTGGCACGCGCCCGGGCTTCCGTGCGGGACAAGTTCTTGGTCTTGGTCTTGCCACTTGCCTCTTGGTATCGGGCCGGCCTATAGCCGGAAGTTGTTAGTGTTTGGGCCATGGGCTTTTATGGCCAAGCGTTGACAATGGGCAAACTGTTGAGACAGAAATCAAAGCCCACTCTTTCCCCGGCCGTGGTCAAAGTTGAGTGGGTCACTAAACTTACAGCATGGCATACCAACATACATACATACATACATGTAGGCAGGGAAGTTGTGTCTGCAGCCGCAATTAGCGTCGACTGTGGCCAGCAGAGCCAGAGCCACAGTCAGAGTTGATTGACATTAGGGACTTCGACTGGGACTAGTGGGCCCATGCCCGTGTCCGTGTCTGTGTCTGTGTCTGTCTGTGTTCGTCCTGGCCACTGGCTTCAATATTGACCGCACCCACGCAAGCCTCATGTGAATATTGATCCTGTCTGTGTCTGTGCCTCTGTCCCCCTAACTCTGCGATTATTATTATTAATGGTCACGCGCGCGGAATACTTTGCATTGCAATTTCTCGAGTCAGTTGCCCGGCCGCTCGCCTGACAAACGGCCGCACACCTGCCAGTGTCCTGGAACGCGCACTGGCTAGAGGTACAGTTTCGCATCGCATCGGAAAAGCCAAAGAAAATCAATACTAATGAGCCATTAAATGTAGTCCTCAGCTGCTCCTTGCCGCCTCTTGCCAGCGACCAAAGTCTAATGAGTGCGACAGCAGCGGAAATTGAATATTGAGTGTAACCAAGCGGATGCAACAGGAAATCACATTAACCGTAGTCGCAGCAGCAGCAGCAGCATCAGCAGCAGAAACATCAGAAACAGCAGCATCCTTTTGCCATTATCCCTGCGGCTGCGAAAGGTATAAGGGAGAGCAAAAGCGGAAGTCTTAGCCGTAATGCCTTGCGCCTGAGTGGCTGCCTAGCATGGGCTGCTCCAGCTCCAAGACCGCCCCAACGATAGACGACATTAAAGCTCCCGTGTCAGCCAGGTCAAACACAATGGCCAGCAGTAAGGCATACCGTGAGTGCACCAGAGCCAGAGCCCCCAGTCCAGTCCTTTTCAGTTCAGTTCCGCACTTTCTCAATCCAACAGCTGCCTCGGAGGCCTTTACCATTCCGCTGGACACCGAAGAGCAGCCGGAGATGCCTCTCAACGAGACCTTGAGACAGCCACCCAAGCGCATTCAGCAGATAATGCAGGAGGCGGCCCACTCCGAGCCGCCCACACTCGAGGAGCTGAAGGACAAGCAGCAGAAGGCCGAGCAGAGGCGCCAGGAGTTGATGCAACAGAAGCTGGAAACGATCCAAAAGAATACCCAGATGCTGATGCGAGGACACATGGAGGGGGACGGCAGTGGAGAGGGTAATCCAGAGGATAGGGAGTCGCCGCAGCCGTAAAATCCATAGCCCAAATACGAGTGCACATTTCGAACCCTGCACTCTGCAAATTGAACGATTTCCCAGCCTGCTTTTCATTCACATGTTTTATTGTTAGCTTTAATTCATATATGTATTACTATATATATCATAGTGTATTTCCAAACAATTAGATTGTTTGCAATTAAACCTCCTTTCCACTCAACAACACTCCAAAACGCTGTCCCACTCGTACTTCACTTTACTTTACTTTACTCATCTTACGATTATATTTGTGTGTACTTAATGTTCTGGTAATCTGGTTGTATCTATGTTATCTATATGTATATATGTATGTGTTAGGTTGGTTTGGCTCGATTGGTGTTTTGGTGTTTTGGTTTTGCTGAGATATATCGTAATCGTAATCGTAATCATACTACTATATGCTTCATTTGGATGTGCCTGTGGTTGTAGTTGTAAATCATGTCTTTTGGGTTTGTAGTTGGGTTTACTTGGTTTGGTTGCCAGGCTAAACTCCATAATTATATAGTTATATGTAGGTATGTATATAGTATATATATATCGTATCGTATCGTTAGGTATAAATACGCGTATTGTGCCACAGAGACTACAAATGTTGCTTTGATTTCAGCTTGATTCGCCTCCAGCGGCCACCGTCCGGCCGACAATTTGTTAGTTCATTCAATTAGTTAGCTACACACTCATAAAAAAAGGTTCGATCCGTGCGTGGTACATCCCCCAATCCCTCCGGGTCGTACCAGTCATTAGTATCTTTTGCTTAGACTGTATTTTGTATTTTGTATTTGTATCTCTCATATGCTTTGAATATTTAGTTTGAGTTGCTTGATTTGGTGCATTTCGAAGATACTTCGGATCTACAATAATAACTACATATGTATGTCGACGCGCTGCTCTATCGATTTGCTAATGCCGCAGCAAGATATGTTCCTCCAGTCGAACGGAATCCCAGCAACACATACCTATACACATACTATATATATATGTACGTCGACACAACCTTGTGGGCTCTCATAAGTACCAAGTATATTCTATCTCCCCGCGAAGTGCCATCGACTGGAGGCATCTCTTGTCCACAACCATTGCTGTGTCTATTGCTTTGGGTTTCGTTACTCTTGTTATTACATTTTGGTTTCGCTTCTGGTTTCCATTATTAATCAGTTACAAAAATGTTTTGTTCCTAGTTGTTGAACTATGGTGGGTTTCGTTCTTAAAACATACATTGTAATAATAATAATAATAATATAATCGTATTTTAATACATACACACACATACACATACTACTGGTTCAATACAAATTTGTTTGGTTTTGTATAGTGGATGCTTTTTGCTATATGCTTCCCCACTGCTCTCTATGCACATTAATATTGTATAAAAACTGACTTCAACCTATCAAAAAACGAGCAGTACGATCACAATTTCCCCCAGCTATAAGCACAACCCCCACCCCTCCCAAAACATTTGACACAAAAATTAACATCTAAATGGGAACCCAACGATGCAGCCAGCCCCGCGGAACTAACGCTGTCTCCGCATCCGTATCCGTAGTTTGAACTTGTATTAAAGCTTTTTTGGTTTTTCATTTTACCCCCCTTTTCCTACCATCCGACATCTAAAGCTTACTCATAGGTATATTTTCGCATTGTGTATAATATAATTATAATATAATAATAATAATAATACATATATATTGTATGTATGTATGTATTTATGCATGTGTATATATTGTATGTATTCCAAATCGTAATCCATTATATTTGTATTAAATTCTTTGCCTGGAGCATGTGCCTACCTAACAGTACCCGTACATAAACGCCTAACAAAATGGAATCCGAGCCCCGGTCCGTCTCTGGTGTGATCGCTCAAATGATTGCTCGACATTGGCTAGATGTCGAGAGGGTTGCTCTAGTCTGATTTGCGTAACTGGTAAATGGCATGGAGAGATAGATGAATGGCATAAGCCTGAGCCTGAGCCTGAGGAAGCAAGGGTATATCTTTGGTGAGAACATTGCCGGAGCAGCAGGAACAGGTTTGATTAGCTGGGGAAAACTTTGAGAGCCTGTGGCCAAACATACAATACATAGCAACCCTCCCGCAGCTGTGGTGTATACATATATATATGTATATATATATTCGTGTATATAATCCGGGGCTAGACATACAAAAATCAGTACTGCTTGTCAATGGGTAATAACTAAGCCTATTTTTGGTTTCCTTGCCGAACATTTTGCTCCTTCCTTCCTTCCTTCTTTAGCACACAACATTTATTGGAGCTACAAGTAGTTTTCCGAACTGTGTCTTAGCCTAGATATATGTATTTATACTGTATGTATGTTTGTATGTTTGTGTGTTGTGATAGGTGTTGGTGTGGCAGGGTGTGAGATCTAGTTGTAGACGCCGCGCACCATGCCCTCGCGATTGCGGGTGTGCCACTTGCAGGTGAGGATGCGGATGTAGGTGCGCCGGAAGGAGGCGTTGCAGAGGGCATAGCACATGGGGTTGATGGTCGAGTTGATGTAGCACAACGCGTAGAAAAAGTCCCACAGCTCGGCGGGAATGCAGTCCGAGCAGGTGGTCAGCGGCTTGATCAGCACCAGAATATTGTACGGCGTCCAGGTGATGATGAAGCTCAGCAGAATGGCCGACAGCGTTTTGGCCGCCTTCGTCTCCTGGCGCTTCTCCTGCGACTTCTTTTTCTTCTTGGCCGCCGCATTGCGGGCATTCATGAGGGCATGCTGCCCCGCAGCACCGCCCGCTGCGCCGGCTGCCCCTGCCTTGCCCAGCTGCTTGGGGATGACCTTGGCATTGAGCAGGCGGGCGTCGTGTTGGGCGTGTGACATGCGCCGTCCCAGCGGCAGGCTGAACTCGGAGTCTCGCGACGGCAACGGCCTCCGCGTGGCCAGTGGGGGTACGGCGGTGACTGTACTGCTGGCCAGGGTCGAGGGCGTCGCATCCTCTTGTATCATCTTGATGGAGGGCGCACACTCGCCTTGGCCTCCTACACTGCCGACTGTCACTGCACTTGCCCCCGCCGTAGCGGCTTCTACAGAGCCTGCTCCTCCTCCTCCGCCGCCTGCTCTGCTCTGCGCCGCATTGGATGAGGCACCGTCCGAAGGCAGGCGAATGAGTATCGTGTAGACCGAGTCCTGGCTGACGGAGCGAGAGTTAATGCGATTGATCACGGGCAGCGTGCGGAAGTCACGAACCCCTGGATTCGCGCTGTTCCCATTCCCATTCGCATTTGCATTTGCACTGGCATTCGCATTCGCATTTCCACTGCCGTTGCCGTTGGTGTTGCTGCAGCTGGCCGTTCCATTCGCCGTGGCCATTCCCATGCCCAGGCCGAGTCCTAGGCCCAGGCCGATGGCGGTGCCGTTCCCTGTACTGGCTCCTGCCGCATTCACCGCTGCACCGCTATTGCTGCTGTTGTGACTGTTGTTTCCGGTGGCATTCAGCTCCTGCATCTGCGAAATAGAGCTGAGTGGCATCGGGGGCCGGGCCAGGGGCGTGGGCGAGACATCCGACAGCAGGATGCTGGGGGGCCGCACTCCACTCACACTGCCCCCCACCGAGTAGTTGTCCCGCATCACGTTCATCGAGGTGCATCTGTGGGGGCGAGAGGCAGAGAGCAGATAGGATGTGCCATTGGTATCGTAAATTCCTGCACACACACACACACACACACACACACACACACGGGCATGCACACATTCACTGGACCCTAGGATTCTGTGCCGTGCCAGCACTCTGATGGCTGACAGGCAACAACAAGATGGCTGACAGGCCACAGCTGCAGCAGCAGGACAACAGCCGCAGCAGCATGGGGCAGCGGATGCTACCCATACCCATACACACACACACACACACATACGAGATACAGACACTCACACAACTACAGGATGCCACTATACAGATACTCATGCATGTGGAGAGTGCGTTGTGTGGATGGAAACAAGCCGCCGGAAATCTGAACTCAAATCGATTACTCATCGGAGCGCTGGGGCACGCATTGCTTTATATGAAAGGAGAATGCACGGCCACAGAGGGAGGTAACCCGAAATGGGGAGGGCCGACCACAATGGACATGTGTCCATGCAGATTCATCGGAAATTTCAGTAACATCAATTGTTTCGATGACACTGCCCTGGGGGACAGGGAGAGACAGGAAGAGACAGGGAGGGACTCTAATACAATTTGGCTGGACGGGTTGAGGATGGATGAAACTGCACTGATTGGAGCTAACTGGTGGCACATGGAATACCAATAGATTTATGGAAACAGATAGAGCAGGATACCATCTGTACGTGTCCTGGTAGTAATGTCAGAGTAGGAGAACTCATACCCGTATCTACTTGTACATTTCTATTTAGTTTGCTGGTATTTATTTTGTGCTGATTTTGACCACATTATCGGACCTAAACTATGTTTGTCGTATTTTAGTACATATGTACACGTACATAATAATAATAATAATCCTCAAAATGCATTTAAATCTTCAAGTAAAATTACTCAAAATTTAAAACAAATAAATCCTTCAATTAATCAAATAAAAATTCATGAAAACGTGGCGCTAACAATTCCAAAAAATATAAACTGAAAATTCAAAAAATAAAAAAACCAATACCCATCCCTGGCAGGGGCGTTTCAATTGCTTTGGGTGGGTGGGGGCAGTGCTTCAGACCTGCCTCTACCATGTTGCAAAGTTCTGTTTGTGCGAGGACTTTGATGGATTTGTGTGGTGGGGAGGGCGGATGTGGGATGGGGATTAGTGCATCTGAAAGCTTTTGCCGGCAATGGATGTGGCATGTGGCATGTGGCAGCAGAACTCAGGTTTTGTTGGTTTTCTTAGTGGGCAAACATCGAAGAGAAGCAGCAAATCGAAATTTATAAAGTGTCTGTTTCTGTTTATCTTTGTGGGCGGTGGGCGGTGGGCGGTGGTCGCTGCGTGGGGAGGAGTTGTTGGTTGTTGGTGCGCTCTAAGTGCAATTGTTTCATTGATGCAGTGCATACACACACACACACACACATGTTTGTGGCTGGGTGCAAGAGGTGCTTGAGGTGCTTGAGGTGCGAGCGGTGCGGTGTCGCTTACTCGAGAATAGACAATAGACGATAGATAGAATTTTGATTGGTTGTTTTACTACCTGGAGACGGAGCTTTGTAAAGGAGTTTCAATTGTTACTGGTGTTGCATACCCTAAATCAGAAGGCTCCTCCTGCTCGTAGGCAAAGTCGTCGGAGTCGTCGCGCCCGGAATGCCACCACGCAATGCACCACTCCTTGACGCTGCCAAACATGCTGTACGGCTTTTTGATTGTGTTGGTGCTTTTGATCTGCAACGATATGACGAGACATAAGTACTTCTGCTCCGCAGACGGGAAAATGCGATATATGTTGGGGAAACGCACGCTTGATTTGCGCGAGTGCATGCCGTGGTAGCCGGAATCGAGGACCATATTGGTCATGTAGACACTCTCCGCATCCGCAGAGCTCTCGGAGCGCGGCCGTCGCCAGGTGTCGTGATCGTTGCCGCCCAGCTGCGCAAAGGCCAGCAGTCCGCCGCCCGCATGATTGACCACCGTGTTCTCGTCACTGAAAAGAGTGGAGAGTCCATTTTAGGGGCAGTCCAACCAGCGCATGGGATTCAGTGATTTGGTGATTTGGGAGACTCACCTGCTGTTCGAGCGCTTGCTGGAGTCCTTCTTGCCCGCCTGCAGATTGGGCAGGTCCTTCTGTCGCTTCTTCGTTTCGCGCCAAATGCGCCAGTAGAGGAAGCACATGATCGTCACGGGAAAGTAGAAGGCGGCCAGGGCCGTGCCGAAGGTGATGTACTGGTTCGTCTCGATGAACTGGATGTAGCACTCGTACTTGGGCACCGTGCGCTTGCCCTCGATGTAGGGCCAGCTGTAGATCCAGGGCGGCCACAGCAGCAGGCTGACGCCCCAGGCGGCGCCGATCATCACCGCCGCCCGATTGGTGGTGCGCTTGGCGCGGTATGTGAGCGGACGCGTAACGCTGAAGTAGCGATCGAAGCTGATGATCAGCAGATTCAGCACCGAGGCGTTCGAGGCCAGGTAGTCGAGGGCCAGCCAGGTGTCGCAGACTATGGGCCCGAGCGGCCAGTAGCCCAGGATGGTGGTCACCGCAAACAGCGGCATCGAGATGGCGCCGATGGCAAAGTCTGCGATTGCCAGCGAGAAGAGGAAGTAGTTGCTGATCGTCTGCAGCTGCTTGTCGATCTTGAACGATATCATCACCATGACATTGCCCGCCACCGTCACCGTGCTCAGAATCGCCGCTACGAAGCCCATTACCACCATCGAGGCGAGCGAGTAGCGCGGCCCTTTGGAATCGAAAAGCGACGTTCCGTTTGTCTGGTTGCCGTAAGGGTACGGATCGTACAGACCGCTGGCCGCCGTTGTGGTCAGGTTCTCGAGCAGGGCCGTCAGTAGGGTGGTCCCTGTCGACGACAGGTGCGCCGGACTGCTCGTCGTCGTTGTGGTTGTTGTTGTCGTCGTCGATGTGGTCGTTGTGCTCGTAGTTACGGTTTTAAACAGCGGCTCGAGTATGCTGGGCGGGCCATGGGCGGCCAGGGCCAGGCTCATCACCGGCTCCATGGCGAATGGCGAATGGCGTGATATTTCCAGCAAAAGCTTTTCTAGATTACACTTCCTTATCGCTTCTCTCTCTCTCACACTCTGGCGCTCTGACACTCTCTGTGTGGCTCTCGTTCGGTGTGTGTCCTTGTCCTCTGTTTCAGTTGGCTTTCATCCTCTGCTTATCCTTTTGGCTGCACCCACGCAAGGCGTTGGCCATTTTTCCACTGGCCCTGCAAGCAATAAAAATAACTGTATATTCCACATGGCCAAGCAGCGATACGACTAGCCGAATACCCTATTTCCACCATTGCCTTATTCGGCTGGCACTAATTGCTTGCATCTCGTTTTGCTTTTAATTGGTGCTTGGCAATCCACGCAAGAATACTCCCCAAGGTTCCAAGCTCCTGTATAGGGTGTCGCAATTTCCGTATGCCCATCCCATGCCTACCCCTTGCAGCCATCGGACATAAAACAACGAGATAGTAAAAGGCGAGAATTATGAGGAGCTGTCCAAAGCGCAGGCCTTTGATATATCCCATCTCCGCAGTGGATGGGCTGGGCTGAAGGGGCCAAGGAAGCGCAATAATATATTTACAATGCCAGGGGCCGCCGGACTCGCTTTGTCCTTGCTGCAAAATGACATTTTCTGTGTGATTTGTTTTAATGAAAATGTATATTCAAATGTAAATGAAAGCTCCTTCAATGCCCCACACCCCCTACCCCCACCCCGCCCCCTGGTTACGCCCACGACATTTGCTGTTTGCTGTTTGCTGCCTGCCGGATATTATTGTATCCACGGAGCACAATGGGGTGAGTGGGGAACAACAGGCACATGCAACAGTCGAGGAAAGAAGTTGGCTGGGCTGCCTGTCGGGGTTCCGTGTGCCAAATGCCAGGCAGGCTCCCTTCGACACTCGACACTCGACACTTTGGCACGGAAATGTTCGAGGCGGCTTCCTCTGACACTTTTCAAAACTATTGATGTTGTCATTGGGTCTATATATACTCCTACGCATACATCTATAGATCGTACCGTGGAGGGACACCGGGCGGATCTGTGCATTTGGCAGGCATTGTGTGAGTTCGATGCGGAAAGTTTTTTAATGAAAATAAGTTACGCATACGGCCTGCTGGCCACCTTTGATTGATAGACACTGATACCGATATGAAGTGGCATGAATAGGAGTGTCCATGATTGACTGGATGCCAGCTTATTTCCTCCATTGTCTTCTCCTCTACATAGATTGCACTCTGGGCGGAAGCGCTTCCACATGAACCAGTCCACACAAAGGGTCACGCATCCAGGGACTATAGTATCTTCGATTGTTCTATGCAGGCACTTCAACGAAGGCCAACTCATGCAAAGGATAATTAAATATCAAAAATGCAGCACATTGGCAGGCTCATCCAACCAAACGATTCAATTAAGCATTCGAATCGAATTTCATTCGATTGGATGTATTTATAATGGATCTATTCCAGCTAGTTAAAAGTTAAGTGAGTGTACTTTTTATTGAATTCAACTTTTATCGAGATTCATTCATGTAAAGTGTGATTGGCTGTGGATTCTGTAGGATTAATTGGCAACTCAAATGGATGTTCAATTAAATGCAGCGTTGGCCAATAAATCAATCAAAATCTGGTTATTTATCTCGGAGAAACGACACACCTACCCACCCAACCAACCAACCAACCAACCAGCCAGTGGAAGGACTCACACTGACACACATGCGTATAAATCAATTGGGGAAAACAAGCTAACGGCAAAGTGGGCAAAACCAATGGGGCGCCACAAATTGAGCCGCCATATCGCATTGACAAAACCAGAAATAACAACGTGCTGCTGTCGAAGGCGCATAAGACCGGCAGACGGCAAAACATTTATTTATAATAAATGAAAAACAAAATCTCAGGGATGTGAATCCTGGGATGGTTCGATGGTTCATTGGGTTAACCTCTCACACAAAGTAGTTTCACCGTGCCTGCCGCTAAGTCCAGGCCTGAGTACGTGATTTGGCCCTGGCCACGTCAGCTTATGTTGGCCCAGGCCACAGACAGTTGGCAGTAGCTGTACGGGCAGCTGGCTGTCTTCCTTTCGGGCACATTCAAATTTGTCAGGCGACCGCTCCCTCTGGCAAATAATCGAATTCAGCGTCTGCTTGCCGTGCCTCGGTTTTTGGTTGCCATAAAAAAAGGATTTATGGATTTATTATCAAATGCGCTGGGCTAATGGCATAAACAAACACACCCAAACGGTAGGGGGGAGGAGACACGCTCAGACACACACGCATGTACGCATAGAGAGCGAGAGAGATCTGAGCAACCTGCGGCCCGCGAGGATTTGTTTTGCCATTTATTAAGCTATTTTTATGACACAGCCACGAGCCTGTAGCACTAGGCTCTCAGCACGCGGCAAGTAGAAGTAAATACAGTAAGCAGCCGCTAATCAAATCAAACAGTATCTCTAAAATATCTGTTGCACAAATTCACTGATATATTCCCTGAAATTTCCACAAATTAAGAGCATTTAATGACGGCCAGATGCAGCTTTCAGCCAATTAAAAGTATTGCACATTTCATCACAGTCTCTAATCAAATATAATCCTTTGCTTTAATAATTCCCTTTTATGCTTAGCATGTATCCGAAAACAAAGGATTGGTGAATTGCTTTCTCTCAGAATGAAATTGCCTAAAATAACAAATTTCATTTGTAAATTTCCCATTTAACAAAACATTTAATTGGTCCAGGGATTTGAACTGGCCTTTTTTCCACGAATTTTCTACAACGAGCTGTACTTCAGGGAGCTTAAACAATAAGCTGCCATCATTCTCATGAATTTTGATATTTTAATGTTGATTTTTGGTTTCCTTTGAATTCGGGATGCTGTTTATTGCTCTTCAACTGTTTCCAGTTAATCGGTTTATATATGTAGTTGCTGCATACGATTTCCGATTTTCAGCTGGCATACTCGGAGGTTCCTGGTCGCATTAAGCGACTTCCCACTGTCACCTAATGTGCGTACGAGTGAGTGTTTCTGAAGCAGCAGCTCATCAGCAGGGGGCATATTCGGGTTCGCTACACTTTGTGCGGGCGCTGAGGCTCACCTACTTTCACCCACACACGCGCACACACACACACACACACACATACAGTATACCACACCCGCACACAACACAAAGCGTTTTTCGTTGCGGAATAGCGTAAGGAAAAGCTGGGGAAACTAGCTGCATACTTTTGTGCGTCTCGTATGCTGTGACTGTGACCCACGAGTCTTCCTCTGGCTTATGTTAATTTTTGCGCGAGTTTAATTGCTTGCCACATGGCTGAGATGCTGGCTCACAGCAGCCTGCTTTTGGCCCTACCGTGCCTGGCCATGACGCTCCGCTCTCTTGTTTGCGGAAATTAAATTGCTGGACTGGCTTTCACCTTATGCTTGGGCTACCCGCTAAGCATATTGCCCCAGGAGAAGGGAGTGGGTGGCTGAACCGCGCCCCACCGACCTACTCGCACAAAGTTTAATCAAAACGAGAGCACTGGAAACAGCGTTGGCTCCGCTGCCACTGCCAGCGTCACTTACACAAACACACAGCACCGCTCTGACTTACATGCGCTGCTGCCGCTGTCCTCTCTCTTTCTGTGGATGAAAGCGTCTTGTTGTTGGTGTTTCTCTCTGTCTCTGTCTCTGTCTCTCTCTGTCCTTCTTATTGCTTATTTCGCACGCTCAGCATCGCTGTTGATTTTGGCCATTTGCCGCTCCCAAAAGTATGCTTTGTAATTTTTTGTATTGTGCGCGCACATCTTTGGTTGTTTCGGCTGATTCTGCTGCTGCCTGCTGCTGCCTGCTGCTGCCGCTGCTGCTGCTGCTGCCGGGCCGGCCCCACTCTCCTAGAAGAGGGTTGTGTTGTGTATGGCACGGGGGGATTTTTGCCAATTTTATTATACACAATGCTAGCTTCGACGTCGGCGCCGGCGTTGCCGTCAGCGTCTACGCTTTGACGCTTTGCGTGCCCAAAGTTTCCACATTTAACATTGTAATCAAGTTTATTATTTTTTCCTCTCGCACTCGATACAACTAATGACACGCCAGGCCCACCGCCATTGCCACTGCATAAACTGTTTGCCCTTCTTATGTATACAAATATTGGTTTGAATATTTGCCTAATTTTATTTAATTATTGCTCGCATTTTGCTGTTTAAATTTCACTATCAGCCATGTAATAAAAAACTTTTGTTTGACGTTCTTTGCACGCGTCCGCTGCGAGGGACGACTCCCAGTTTTGGGAGAGAACTTTTGAAGCGCACGTTTCCAAATCTCGTCCGGGACTGAAGCTGAAAATTTCAAGCATATACCTTAACGGTATATCGCACGAGATGAGAGCAGAGCAGAGCAGAGCAGCGCCACAGCGAGAGAGAGAGAGAGCACGAAGCACGGCCGAGTGCCAGATCCGGAGCCGATTACCATTCGGCTCGGGTTTCTTTGTGCTGGAATTTGTGTTTGTTGAGGCACATGCGAGCATCCTCTGCGACACCCTCGCACAAAGGACGCGCCTGGGCTAATGCGTGGGTGGTAAAAGCGGAAAAATGCGAGACTGCCTCCCTCCCCGTCTCTACGAGTGTGTGATTATGCGTTTGTGTGTGGGTGTGTGTGTGTGTGTGTGTGGGGGATTGGGTTAGTGCTGCCAAAATGCAGCCATAGCCGAACACTCTGGAAGCTGAGCAGAGTGGGGAGGAGCATCAAGAAATGGATGAATATGAATGAAACCGCCGCAACAGTCCGTCGAAAGCAGAGGGGCGGGTATTCTGGGGCTGACTAGGAGAGGGCACACGAGCCCCACGGGCATTCCTCAAGCACGCTCGCCATCTTTGTAGCAGTTCTCGTTGCCTACGATGCCTGTTTGTGCTCTTCATCAGCAGAAGGAGCAGCAGCAGCAGTAGCAGCAGTAGCAGCAGCAGCAGGAAGGAGCAGAAACAGCAGTAGTCGTCCACTGCCTTTTGAATGGGACTCTGGGGCGAATGGGGCATGCGAACAAGTGTGGCCCGTTAGTGTGAGTGCGGATGAGTCTGTGTGAGTGCGCGGTTATTCGTGTGAAGTGGGCGCGCTGGAAAAGCGCATTCTCACATTTCAATTAAATAATACTACGAGATATTCCGACTGTTCTGCCATGAATCCATCCGATTCGGTTGGGCGTTTGGGTTTACTTTGGGTCAGGCTGGTGTGTCAAATGGGGAGTTACTTACAGATGAAGCAACTTTTAATAAGCCCAACAATGAGTAGTGGTCTTCCGGCAAATGTTTTTGCCCGGTAGGGTAGTCGTAGAGAACAAGGGTATATCTCATTCGTGGAGTTGTATGCCACAGACAGTGGGGTAGGAAGGTTTCCCTAGGTCAAATACATCTAAAGTAGGAACTTATTAGAATAGCCACTAATATTTATCGCAAAACAATTCAGAGCTAAATGCGAAAGTGAGTTAAACAAGTCTACCCTAATTAGGATAAAATCTATTTTCAAGAAACTCTCCGCTCAGTTTATAATTAGAGGATAGGATGTACGAGTAGCGATGATACGTTGAGTTCAGTTGAGCCCTTGGGCAGGCAATTACTTGGGGGTCCCTCAAGTGCCTTGGCTGTATTAATAGCAACTCATGTTGCGTTTAAACTGGACAACAATGGATCCAACGCGCCTGACATGGCAATGGCACTGGCACTGACAATGGCAGTGACCCCCACCCGGCCCCACCCCACAACACACATGCGGAAGCCTGCCAGCCACAATACCAGCACAACCCAACCCCCTAGAGTGCCGTCCACCCCATCCATCCATCCATCCCCTATCCCGTTGGGTATGGTATGCCATGAGTGAAGCTTTGCAGATGCCCGTACTCGCCTCTATGTGCCAGTCATACGAGTATATGATATAAAAATACATAAATGGACAATGCAGAAAGAGCAGGAAGAAGAGTAGGAGCTTTGGCCCGCTCGATGTTCCATGGGGTGGATTATATGTGGGGTAGTGAAGTTCATGAGTGGGCGGCTATTGGGGATTATTTCGATGAACTGGACCTGCTGCAGTGTAATAGAACATATACAACATATCTGTAGCATAGCCACTGCAACCATATGCTGGAATTTCGTAATCGGCACGCGCCAGCCAGCACAAGGCCTGGAGTTCTTCATTTGTTCTTCACCTCACCCCTCGATCACTCATCCGCACCGTTCGCCCATGTAAGGTGGCTGCCTAGCAAATTCTCCGAATCTTTTACAAAGTGGAGTATTTGTGTTGGCATTTGAGTAAAAGTTCACTGTTGCAGCAACAGAAAACACAGTCAGGACAGCGATGATTTTCTGAGAATATATTGAAGTTGAATGCTGCGCAGAAAATTCGCGAAAGAGAAATTCCAAGAAAAATATATATACTGAAAATAAACTGATTCCAAACTAGGACAAAAGGTGCATGGTTTCAATTTTTCTATCCTTTTTTTTTTATTAATTTTTAAATTTTTTTTTGTGGCTATTGTTTTTTTGATTTGTTTAAATTTAAATATGTAAATATATATTCATATAAAATATATAAGCATAAACGTTTACAAATATAAATATCTTTTATCTTTACCCGACGGCCTCCCATCTTCATTTCCATCTGCAAGCTCTCGAGCTCTCACACAATTTGTGTTCTGGAATCCCAACATCTCACATTCTCGTATATTTCTCCTTTTTGCCACATTAATTTTTGCAAAACTTTCTCGTGCATCTGTTTACGTCTATCTGTCTGTCTTTCTGTCGGTCAGAGTGTGTGTGATAAAGTTGCATAGTTATGCGATATATATATGTATATATTTATAGATATATTTACAATAGCGATAAGGTCAACAAAAAAAAGAATATTTGCTGGGTGTACGTATGTTTCGTTTGTCCAGTGGTTGAGTTGAGTTGGGTTGGGTTGGGTTGGGTTGTGGCGGCTTGTGTGTAACACGTATTGTATGTCTGTATAAATATTAAGTAAATTTAATTCTGCTCCCGACGGTTCGTGCCACATACATACATATAACATATTGGATTGGCCTAGGTCTGGGCTTATACATATGCATGTACAACTCAGATAGAACAGATGAACGCTGGATAGTGCGCTAATAATAATAGAGTAATAGGCTAACATACAATGCAAAAATAATAAAATTAAGCTTATGCATTACATTTTACGACACAAAAACTTAAGCATGACCCGACGCGCTTCTTGCCAGGACACACACACACACATGCATGTCCATCTATGATATATGTATATACCCACATACTTTATGTATATGCTTAAGCATGGAAAGAAGCGCTCTTTCTCTGGCGGAAGCCTTAATGGATGGCTGACAATTGTTTTGTTTTGTTTTACTTTGCATAGCTGACGGTGCCGCTGCCGCTGTCACTGCCTCTGCCGCTGCCGCTGTCGGTGTCGGTGTTGCAGCCATTTCCTTTGTTTGCCTGCTCGACAGACGTGGCAGGCATCCAGAATCTACAATTAAGCAGCCCTCATCCCTCCGAGTAGGAGCTGAGACTGCTGCGGGTGGACCCAGTGAAATGATCACGCTGCAGTGTGTCCGACGGCATGGAGACAATCAGTGCGCCCCCATACAGGGTCTCCATCTCGTCCAGCTGCTGGGCGAAGGTCTCCTCCAGGCGCTGTCCGTGCGAAGAAATCAAAGGGTATTAGTAACGCATCGAAATCCATGTCCAAAACTATGGTTCTAAGCAACGACATTCACTACGATATTATATCAATTCATTTAGGAGGAGGAGGAAAGTTTAGCTATACAGCGCATGCATTAGTAGGACATTTAGAGTGAAAGGAATATACAGTACATAGAATACGCAGTGCAGCTCAGAGCTATGCGATTGGGATCAGGATCCATTCGCATAGCTTTTCACCACACTGCGGGATAGATCAAAGGACTAACCTCTTGTTGCAGCCGCTGCTGAAGTTGCTTTACGCATTAACGAGAAGAGGAGAGCCGGCAAGAAAAGTTTTTGGATACAGATTTGTTTTTTTTTTTTTGGTTTTTGGTATTTGTTTTTTGTGTGTGTTTTTATGTTTGTTTTTGGAAAGCAGCGCATTGTTTTTGGGTATATGTGGGTGTGTGTGTGTGTACAGTGAAGCATCATGAAAATTGCGATATGGTAATATATATGTGTGTGGTGTGTGTGTGTGTGTGTGTATACGTATATTTTTTGTATGATTATATTCATATGAATGAATGTCTATGCTCTAGAGTAGAATATAGTAGTAGCTATGTAAATGCTTGGCATGTTGCTATGCATGGAATGCGGATTGTTTCTCTTCGTTTCGATTCATCTTTATTCTCATTTGTTTCTGTTTTTGTTTTTGTTTTTTGGTTTCTTTTACTAAGTACTCGGATAATACTGCTAGAATGGAGTGCGCGCGTCTGGCGCGATATTATATGTATCGATCGTATGTGGAAAAAATCATTCATTCATTTTTTTCGCTTAACTGACAAAACTAATCAACTTTGGCAAGACACAAATTATGGCATATCCGGATGCAGGCGATGCATAGACGGTGGTTAGTTAGGGGGAAAGCTTTCAAAGGCTGTTAGTCAGATGATATGCAGTGGTGGCAGGGAGGAAGTGTAGTCTGTATTTTGTTAGCACCAGCACCAGGCGGGGGGGAATGGAAAGCCATTTGATTCGGTGTAAGTAAGTGTACGAATTGTATTGTGGATTGGATTGATTAGTATTTGGAGTGCATGCAGGGAACTGGAGTGTGGCAGATCCTTCTGTTCGTCGTTCATCGCTAGACATCTCTATATGGCCGACGCATCCTCATCGAGGCTGAGCTGACGGTGATTGATCCGCGGCAGCTTGTACTTCTGAGCATACAGTTCGCAGTAGAAGTCGTCGGACGAGGCCGCAGAGTCCGCCGAGACGGCGCTGCCATTCTGACGGCTGTGTCCCGGCTTGACGGACGAACGCAGATCCGGCTGCACTTCATCCAGGAGGGCGGCTGCCTTGCGGCCGCAGTCGGAGAATATCAGCTCCGCATCGCTGGTGTATCTGTTGGTCAGCTCGTTCATGTTGTACATGGACTGGGCGCTGCTCAGGGAGGATCTGCCGCTGCTGCGACTGGTCACGGAGGGCCGCTTGATGGCAAACGAGGTGGAGTGCAGCAGGCGCTTGGTGTGGGCCGTCAGCACCGGCCCCTCTTGGATGCGTAGCTCGACGCTGGCCTCCTCGGCGGCCTTGGCATCGATGCGGCTGAATCGGTTGCTAACCAGACCCAGATCGTCTGGCGTCTTGGGCAGTGGTGGTGGTGTGGGCGTGCTCTGCCTGAAGGTGCTCATGGCGGGCTTCACATTGGACTCCTCGGCACTGTTCAGTGGCGGAGTGCTGGTCACCACCTTAACCAGCTCGTTGGTTGGCGTCTGGACGGTGATTAGCCGCAGCTGACTCTGGCCGGGCAGGGTGGTGACGCTAGCCCGCTTCATTTTCTCAACCAGCAGGTCCTCGTCCTCCTCCAGCACCAAATCGCCCATCATCTGGGCCCGCTGCTGCTTGTGCATGATGGGGGTGCTGGGCACACTGCGGCTCAGATCTGGGGCGGAGCCGCGGAAGTTGTACAATCGGCCGGCATTGCCGCCCATCATCAGGAGCGAGGAGCGCGAGCGCGGCATCTGCTGCGCATCGATGAAGGTGTTGCGGGGCACCAGTCTGGAGGAGCGCTCGTTGAATATACCCCGCAGCCGCTCTGGCAGTTTCACCTCCTGGTCCTCGAACTCCGCGCGATTGGACACCAGACCAAAGCGCTTCTCGTGCTCATCGATGGCCGTCTTGATCAGCGCATTCACTCTCTGGATGCGGCCACAGTTTGGACATTCGTTCGTTCGTTCATTCGTTCGGTTGGTTAAAAACACATGCAAGACCAATCCCAAAGTCGATTGATTGGTTTGGTTGGTTGGTTTTTTGTTGGTTTTGGTTAGTAGTTGGGAAGCACAGCGGTAAGCATTTTGTTTTTGGTTTGTTTTTATATCAGTTATCATAATTTTTTTGTTTTTTTTTTTTGGTTTGTTTTAGGTAGTAGTAGGTACAGTAGGCCACCAAAGAGTATGCATTTGCGTGGGGTGTAAAGAGAGAGAGAAAAAGTTGAAAAAATAATTGGATTTTGTTTAGCCATGGTTCCGCCACCTGGCCATGGATTAGAGATGAGCAATCTCCACTGGCAGTCACACAGTCCCACAAATTAGATCATTAGCCACCCGATGATTCAGCTCACACTTAGTCACAAATTGTCAAATGAATGAGTCACAGTCAGAGTCGGAGTCGGAGTCTATTCAATTTACGATGAATGATAAGGAAAATAAGATATCCCATGGAGCTACTCGAACGGTCAGCGTCCCCCTCGCGATCATTGCTCAACTCTAAGCCGCAGACATTTGGCGGAATGCGTCGGATTGGGGTCAGTTTTTAAAGGGATTTTTTAGGGATGGGGGGGGGCGGTAATACACAAGACACCAAATTTCACCGTAAACCAATCAATATACAATAATAATAATCAGTACCAACTTATATCAATTGAGTTGATCTACTTTTTACAGCAATAAATAAAACACAAAACACCAACAAAATAAGGCGAATGGCATTGGCAGACGCCAAACACTGGGTTTGGCTCTTGCAGCGATTCTTCAATGGGAATGGAATGGGTCGGATATGGAGGGATGGTAGGATGTAAGGCCTGTACACACCTGTTTGCGGGGCACCAACTGCTCGCGCCACTCGCGAAGCTCGGCCTTCAGGCGCTCATCGATCTCCAGAAGCTTGGCATGCTCGTGCTCCACCAGCGCCTTGCGCTTCTCATTCTGCATCTGCTCCAGTTCCCTGTGGAAAGTAATCGGATAAGAAAATTTGTTGCCGCTCAGGATATTCCCACTGGACTGACCTTATGGCGCTTTCGCGGGTAGCGCGCAGTTCTTCCAGCTGCTTCTGATGTTTGATGTCGAAGCGACGCTCCTCCTGCATGTAGCGCTTCTTCTCCTGCTCTTGGAACTGAAAATAGAATTGGAGTTTAAATGGTTACGTTATGTTTGGGGGTCCTGCTCCTGCTGCTTGCTTACCTTCTTCACGCGATCGCGTTCGATCTCTGGATCCAGGTTCGTCGATATGCGCAGCGATTCGCGGAACATAAGGTCGCGGGCTTTGCGCTCGGCGCGTATACGCTTGGGCAGGGCACGCTTCTCGAGCGTCTGCTTCTTGACCATGTCCTCCTCCTTGCGCTGCAGCATGCGCTTCACCTGATCGAGCTCCTTCTCGTGGCGTACGATCATCTGATGGCGCTGCATGAAGCAGAGCTCCTTGACGTGCCTCTTTGACAGCTGATGGCGTTCGTGGAGCTGCTTCTCCTCCAGCTCCCACAGCAGGGCCTCCCGCGTCCGCATCGCATTCTGTTTCTGCTGCAGGAAGTTGCGGTTGATGGTGGCCAGATGGTCGCGATGCTTCTCGCTGAGCCGCCGCAGCAGCAGCTCGTGACGCTCCTTCAGCGAGTCGAGGAAGGCGCGCTCCTTCTCCTCGTGGTCGAGCTCCATGGCCGAGCGCCGCTGCTTGAACTCATCCTTGCGCTTGTCTTTGGGAAACAGATCGACCTCCTGCTTGAGCAGACGGATCTCCTGCTTGAGGTTCTCGCGGAATATTTTCAGCTCCTGCTCCTGCTCGGAGCGGATGCGTTTCGAGGAGGACCTCAGCTCGTTCTCCTGCGTCTGCTCGGTCTTCTCCACGAGCTGCTTGTGCTGGCGGGCCAGCATATCCATGTCCGCCTCGTACGTCTTCTCCAGCGAGCTGCGCTCCTGCTCGAAGCGGCGATCCTGCTGCTCCTTGGCCATCTGTTCCTTCACATGCAGCTCGGTCTGCTGCTTCTTCTCCTGCTTCTGCAGCATTTTTAGCTCGCGCAGCTCCTGCTTCCGGAAATCGTGATCGTCGTAGATGCGCCCGTTCTCCTCATCCCCATAGATCACCCGACTGGTGGTGGTGGTCATCTGGACGCCATCGATCTCGAACTTACGCGTCCGCTTGCGCGTCTTCTTGCGCAGGTTACGCAGCTCGATTTCCTCTTTGGTGAGACCACTGGAGCCCCCGGACTTGGCCACCGGCGGCACGCGCGTCTTCGGCCGTATCACGACCTCCTCCTCCTCGTCAATGGTCTGCGTATGGTTGTTGTAGTTGGTCATCACCGACGGCGGAGGCGGCGGCATTAGCACGCTGGCAGCTGGCTGCTGCTGCGACTGCGACTTGTGGTCCGTCTCGTGTCGGCTGTCCTGACTAGTGTTGGTGCCGATGCTGTCCACATCGGAGCCGCTGATCTGTACCTCTATGCCGCGACGTCCCCGCACCGAACCGTTCTCGCTCAACGAGCTGTCCGGCGAGGTGCGCTTCTCCTGGTCGCTGGATGCGGCGGGCTTGAACCGATTCACGATTATGTTCACGTCTTCGGGTACAAGGCCGTTGGGCTGAGGACGCTTGAGGACCTCGTTGCTGCTGTCCTTCACCTTAATTACCTCGTCGCCCACAGTGACCACGGACACATGGCTGGTGTCCATCAGCTGGTCGCTGTGGTCGTGACTGTGACTGCCCGAGGCAGTGTTGTAGGCTGAATCATCGTCCGCAAAGGAGGGACTCACAATCAGGACCTCGCTCTCGTCCAGTTTGCGAGCGTGCACTGCTGCCGGCTGCGGCGGCGCAGTTGGAGCTCCCGATGGCTCATTGACGGACAATATCATCGAGGATTGCTTGTGTGGCGGTGTCGTGGCATCGCCCAAACTGTCGTCCAGTGAGGGGAAGTCGTCGTCCGTGGACGACTCATTCAGATGCGTGCTCTTGTTCAAGTCGTTGGACACAATCACCACCTCGTTCTGGGGCGGCACAGAGTTGTCAATGATGACAGGCGGATGGGTGCTGGTCACCACTGTAATCTGACTAACGGACTCCAGGCTGTTTGGCAGCACCAGGTGCTGTGGTTGCGGCTGCAACTGCTGCTGTTGCAACTGCTGCTGTGGCGGGGCATCGCTGTTGATGGTGATCAGGGAGGTGCTGGAGCTGAGGACAGCATTCGACACACTGCCGCCCGACGACGAGCTGGAGGAGGCCACCGACTGCACGGATATGATGGATGAGGCTGTGGGCGAGGGTGGTTGCGGCTTCTGCTGCTCCATTGCCTCTGTGCCACCAATAGCCACCTCAATGGCTGATGTGGGTGAGTGGGAGAGGTGTTCGGGCGTGGTTGCCTGCTTCTGAGGCTTTGCATTGGCTGCGACAAGGGCTGCTGCGGTGGCCCCTGATGGCGGTGACGATGTCGATGGTGGTGGCGGCGCTTTGCCCTTCTCCTTTTTGACAAAGTGCTGTGGAATACAAGGAATTTGCTGTGAGTACAGTGTACAGCGGATGGGGATGGTAGTCCCTACCTTTTTGTCCGCTTCCGAAGCAGCAACATCTTCGGGTATCTTTTGCAGCACTGCAGCAGGAGCAACAGCAGCAGCAGCTTGCGATAGCTGTTGTTGTGGCTGTGGCTGTGTCTGTTGTTGTTGTTGTTGCTGGTTTTGTTGGGCAGAGCTATTGGGTGGCGCTGGGGCAGGCACTTTGGTATGCGGCGGTAGAGCTGCCGGCTCAGCCAGCACCAGTGCATTGTCCTCCTTGTGGTTTGATTGTTTGTCTGGGATTGTGGCTTTAGTTGCTGCTGTTGCTGCTGCTGCTGCTGTTGCTGGTTGGGATTGCTCTTTGGAATCCCGCAATATGGATGTAGGTGTACCTGGAACTGTTCCGGTGAAAATTAGGTCCGGTGACAATGATTGCCACGTGAATGCATTCAACTTACGTTTGTCAATGTCTTGGCTCCGCAGCGAGGCAGAGTCATCGTCCAGGTCGAGCTGGAGCGCCGAGTTGCGGGGTTCCTGATGGAAAATCAAAGGGGAATCCTCTCATTAGCATTCAATAATCTGGTGGAAAGTGTTTCCTACTGCTCCAGCGACTAACTACAAAAGATTACTAAAAGCTGATTTCGGCATGCCGAACCTTCAATACCCTGCAGTGGGTATTCTGCGGATCTTGGGGTAGTACGACAATACACCAGATAGCATTAAAGCTAAGGCATTGCACACTTATCACCTGCTATCATTACTGCAAGAAACTGATATGAAATGATAACGAAAGCGTGCAAGATGGAACTACCCAGACCAGAACATGGCTGGAAGGGCAAGGGAGTAGGCTGGGGCAGGGGCAGGGGGTGTGATATTTTACTGATAAAATAACTAAACTAAAATTGTATGCCCGTTATCGGAGAACAGCGGAGATAGTGCGGGGATGCCGGATGGGTGGGTTTGGACGGAGCATGGAACGGGTTGCTGTAGAACGACTTACCAACCCTCTGATAGAGCGAGCGCCGCTTCACTTGGCGTTTAAGCTTCTATATTAATCGTTTTTATTGTGAAATAAGAAATGATAAGAACGAACATTGCGACATTTTTGGCAGACAGCAGAACGGAAGGGTAACGAAACGAAACGAAAAGAAACCAAGAATAACACAACAACAGAGGGAGATAAACGAAACGAAAATATATAAAAAGAATTTATCGCACGGTGCGAGAATGTTTTGGTTTTTAGTTTTAAGATTTCGATTTGGTTTTTGGTTTGAGGCAGCAGCGTGTAAGAGAGAATAGAGAGTTGGAGAGGTGAGATTATATAGAATATTGTGTCATTCCTAGCATTGGACTACGAGGGTGCAGCGCAGTGCAGGGCCAGTGCTCAGGGCCTTAAAAAATGGACTCACCTCAGTCTCGTCATCGACCACCTCCTCCACGACCTCGGCCTTGTACTCGAGCAGCAGATCCTTAATGGGCTTGCAGTCCAGATCCCTGTTGATGAAGCTGTGCTGCACCAGCACATCCGACGTGGGTCTTAGCTGCGGATCCTGATGATCGAGAGAAACAATCAAATGTTAGCAACCATCATTGAAGGGGAAACAGAACAGAGAGGCGATCTACCTTGACTAAAGACTTCTTTAGGAAATCATTGAATTCCTTGCTCCATTTGCTGGGCTGCTCCAGCTTGGGGGGCTCGCTCTTTTGGATCTTGAGCAGCACGCGCATCGGCGACATCTCACTGTTGGGGGGCTCCATTTGGGCCAGCTCGATGAGTGTTATGCCCAACGACCAGATGTCCACCTTGTGGTCGTACGGATTGTCACGAAACGTTTCGCACAACACCAGCTCGGGCGCCATCCAATAGGGCGTGCCGATGAATGTGTCATGCTTCTGCATTGTATGTTTATTCTTGGCCGAGACACCAAAGTCCGCTGAGAAGAGTTCGGAGATTGGTTGGAGGGGGGGAAGGATACGTGTAAGCCACATCGGTATCTGATAAAACTGGCAATCTATAACTTACCTAATTTGACGCCCCCCTCCATGGTGAGGAGAACATTGCCGGCCTTCAAGTCACGATGAATGACCTTGTTCTTGTGGAGAAACGTCAGACCCTCCGTCATGTGCTTGCAAACGTAGGCGATTTGCGGCTCAGTCAATGGCTTCTCTAGCTCCACCATGATGCTGTCCAAGGCCCCACCATCGCAGTACTCAATGAGCATCTAAAGTGTGGTATGTTTCGTCTCGGTTAATAGGTCCTTGATGGGAATCACTGGCGATCAGCTTACCCACAACTTGTCCTCTAGGGAGAAGGCCTCGTAGAGTTCGACGATGTTTGGATGCTTGATCTCGGACAGGATATCAATCTCGACCATGTGGTCGCTCAGGTTCTCCTCATCCTCGAGCGTGCACATTTTGGCCGCTGCAAAGCGTTTATGCTCCTTGTGCTGGGCCTTGTAGACCTTGCCGAAAGCGCCGTCGCCCAGTTCGCCAACCATCTCCCAGAATTCCGCCGGATCCGAGTCCATTTTGATGTTGTTGTACAGGCGCTTCTTCTTGGCCTCACCCCCGCCGAGGTGAAAGACCTTTTTAAGGTTAGTTATAAACGACATCTTTGCGCTTGCGCTTCTGCTTCGATTCTGATTCTTCTCCTTCCCCTTCCCCGTTCGCCGCCAGACAGGCAATTAGTTGCTACTTTAGTTGGTCTTTCTCAGTTGGATGATATTTTGGCCTCTACATAGTGCAGGAGCTCGGCTCGCGATGGCCTCTGGGCGAGAGTCCAACAAGGAAAACTAGATTTGGAGAAAGCTGAAGAGACATAACATACGAGTGTACATGGGGTTTGTATATTTGTATGTGCAGTGCGACGTTCATTGATTGATTTTGCACTTGGCGCAGAGACCAGACACCAGAGCCAGACCAGAGGCAAGTGTTGGCACGGATGCCAATTGGCGGTGGCAGTGGCAGTGGTGTTGGCAGCGCGGGGAAGCAGCAGGTGCTGGAGATCCGCCGTAACGGAGTTTGGTTTTAAATTAGGCCAAACACTCTACGGATCCAATCCATCCCCAAGTGACCGCTTAAGCGCCTAGTTTAAACTGTGGCTCACCTTCTATTAGTCGTTTTTCTGTCTGATTCTGTTTCTGCTTCTGATTCTGCTTTTCTGCCTATTGTCGTATCTTCTTTGCGCTGCCTCAGCGAAATAGGCCAAATAGTGGGGATTGTGGGCTTGGTTGGACGGTCGTCGTCTTCTTTTAACGCTTCTGTATGTTTTATAATTTAATTAGCAGCTCGCAAGCTCTAATATTTGTAGAAAAAACACGTACGAATGGGAGGAAAATGATTACAAACGAGAAAAAGTCAAAGACGTAGACAAAAGAGCGTACAGCGTGCGTGCATGTGTGTGTGTGTGTGTGTGTGTCTGCGGCTGTGTGTGTCTGTCTTTCGGCTTCTAAGTATTTGTGAGCTGGTCTCTGGGCTTTCGGTGGTTTTCTTCAGTGAAATTTTAGTGTCCAAAACACTGTGATAACACCTGAATTAACGCAAATGCACTTCGAAATATGTGTCCAAGACGCGCACTCGAAGCCACGATTTACAGTTGCGGACCTCGGCGAACGGCAGGCAATGGAGCAAACGACAGCTCATTGATGATTACGAATTCGAAGCCGCCGCCTGAAACTGCGCTGGATGGGCGTGAAACTGTAGACGAAGGCAGCCACCAATTACCTCATCCGCATACCAGCGAGCGGCCGCACACTCATTTATTGGTATCAGTATGACACAGAACAGCACACAGGGGGTATTTTATGGTCGGAATGAACTCTTTGGCTTAGATAAAAGCGTGTTTAACTGCACATAATTTGATTTGACTGCGCTGCTTTTTATTTGTATTGTAATTTCTCTCGCGCAACTGCAGTGTGACCGAATCGTTTCACTTGGATGCGCGGTCTGGCAACGTGCGCCAAAAATGGCGTTTAGGTCATCTGTGCTAGAGGAGAGCAGCAATATTTGCTTTCGCCAAGGGCACAACAGAAACAACACTACCACACACGCACTGAAAACAAATAAAGCCAAGAACTACGTACTGCATTTACATTGGACGCAGAACTGCAGTTGCAGTCTCACTGACAGCTTTGCACATTTCTTTTTGCACCACTTCTTGCTAGTTTTCCGCTTTCTTTTTGTTTGCTGAGAAATTTTCTTTTCATGATTTTTTTCCGTCGGCAGCGAAGTGGCTCTGCCAACTAGTGTGACCGCAGATTTGTTGACCAAATATACCCCTCTGACCATTAGAAATATTTCGACAGTACATGTAAAATATGGCCTTAAAAGTTTGCTTGCATGAAATGATTTCAAGTTAAATGCTTCAAATAAATATGAATTTAACTACACCGGTCACAGCAAGCCTGACAAAATGTTGACTCGGGGTAACTGGCCTTGTTAGGAAGAGGAAGAATCGGTATATTTCGAAAACTATAACGTATATTTCGGTATATTTCAGAGTGTCAGGCGGTATATTCGATTGATAAATCCGCAGTCACACTCTAATGGATTCTGCTTGTCATTTTGGCCCCACAATTTTTGCCGCAAACGCAACAAACGCATTTTTGTTGCCAAATATTTGTCCAGAGTTCCCAATTGTGCGGAAAATTCCGAGCTCAGTTAAGAGCCAAGCACGCTGTGCGTAAAGCAAACTACAATTTAACGTAAAACACAACAGAAACAGAAATGCCGTCGTTGGAGGTTAGCGTAAACAAAGTGATAGTGCATCCGCTGGTGCTGCTGTCCGTCGTCGATCACTTCAATCGCATGGGAAAGATTGGCAACCAGAAGCGCGTCGTTGGTGTCCTGCTCGGCTGCTGGCGCTCCAAGGGTGTGCTCGATGTGTCCAATAGTTTCGCAGGTGAGTGTCAACTGGTCGGCAAATCTTAAGACATTAGCTCTACTGTTTCGATTTCGTTTTGCAGTGCCCTTTGATGAGGACGATAAGGACAAATCGGTGTGGTTCTTGGACCACGACTACCTCGAGAACATGTACAGCATGTTCAAGAAGGTGAATGCCCGGGAGCGCGTGGTGGGCTGGTATCACACGGGCCCGAAACTGCATCAGAACGATATTGCCATCAATGAGCTGATTCGCCGCTACTGCCCCAACTCGGTGCTGGTCATCATCGATGCCAAGCCCAAGGACTTGGGACTGCCCACAGAGGCGTACATATCCGTGGAGGAGGTGCACGACGATGGCTCGCCCACCAGCAAGACCTTCGAGCATGTGCCCAGTGAAATCGGCGCCGAGGAGGCTGAGGAGGTGGGCGTGGAGCATCTGCTGCGCGACATCAAGGACACCACCGTGGGCAGCCTGTCGCAGAAGATCACCAACCAGCTGATGGGGCTGAAGGGCCTCAATGCCCAGCTGCGCGACATCAAGCAGTATCTGCAGCGTGTGGGCGATGGCAAAATGCCGATCAACCATCAGATCGTGTACCAGCTGCAGGACATCTTCAACCTGCTGCCGGACATCACCAACGACCAGTTCACGGGCACCATGTACGTGAAGACCAACGACCAGATGCTGGTCGTCTATCTGGCCTCCATGGTGCGCTCGATCATTGCCTTGCACAACCTGATCAACAACAAGCTGGCGAATCGTGATGCCGAGGAGGGCAAGAAGGCGATTGAGTCGGCTGACAGCAAGGATGCCAAGGACAAGAACAAGGAGAGCAAGGACAAGGATAACAAGGACACGAAAGATAAGGATGGCAAGAAGACGGAAGAGAAGTCGGACAAGAGCAAGGACGAGGGCAGCAAGAGTTCCAAGAAATAGGAGCGAAAGAAGAAGCACAAGCCACGTCGCAAGCGAAAGAACAAGGGCTGCAGGCGACACTATCATCTATGAACATCCGAAATCCGAATCATCCGAAACTCACCCGCTAAACTGGAATAACAATCACCAAGCAATCAATTAATCAGCGTGTGTCTGTCCATTTTCGATCATCAATCGTTCATGTAGAATCCCCCGCCTACCTGCTTTATTTCGCCAGCTATGCGTATGAGTTAACGAACGAACGGCAAGTCTATGTAATTACAAATTAAATAATTTAAAAATAAAATTCGTTGTTTGATTCAGCCCCAGAGCTAAAGTTAGTTGCCCATTTCCCCCAAAAATGAAACACTTTTGGTATTTGCTTTGTGTTTTCTTATTTCGTATAACCGAAATAATATATGGAATAATTTAATATCAACGATTGGCACGCGTTAGAAAAACAATGTAAATGGCTGTCTTACGATTGTTTCTCTAACCGAAAACAGTGTCGGGAGGGGCTGGAGTGGTGTGTTGTAATGTGTAGAGGAGAATGTAATTTATCTACGTTTCTATGAAAGCATTTTACCAAATAAAATGTCGATTTACTTACGAACTGAGCTTACGAACTAAACGTGAAATGCGCACCTGTCCGTGTGTGTTGGTGCCACGAGGATTGCTGCAACGAGCAGCAGTTAATACTTAACTACTTTTCGGCAGCATCCTTCAGCGACTCACCAGCGGGACAGAGTGCGCACTGTGCACACCACGGCAAAGCCCTGCAAAATGGCTGATTGCAGGGCTTTCGCGGATGCTGTTGGTTGGTTGTCGCTCCTTTAGACCAGCCACTCGCTGGCCAAGGGGAACTTCAGCGGCCTGCAGCTGCCGAGCCTCAGGCCGTAGTTATTGTCCTCGCCAGCAGTGGCAGCAAAGGGGGTCGTGGTTCTGCTCATCGTCCGGCTCTGGACCGAGCCGAGACCTAAACTATTATGGCTATGCGAATGCGAGGGCCTAAGACTAGCACTGGCACTAGCGCTATAGGTAATAATATCATTGCCGTTCAAATTCTGATGCACCCCATCCGGGGTGGGGCTATCTGCCTCGGCACCTGCCTCCGGATAGTGGTAGCTAAGACTATTTGTGTGGTAGGAGTGGTAGCTATTCAGCAGCCTATTGCTGCTGTCTTCGAGGGGTGCTGGTACTGGTACTGGTACTGTCGTTGTTGGTGAGAAGCTTTTACAATTCAAATTATATATCTTGATCTTGGTCCTGTTGGTCTGGATGTTCAAGTGCACGACATTGTCATGTCACACCGAGGTGCCCTGCTGGCCGGGCACCACCGAGCCACAGCTAACGTCCGGCTGGAAGGACTCCTGCATCCGCTGCCGGCAATTACCCTTGGACGCAAAGCAGAACTTGTAGATGATGTACATGGGTATGCAGAGCACGGAGGAGCAGGTCACTGCCCAGCCCACCTTGTAGCTCCAGTCCGGATAGTAGTACTCCTCGCCCAGCATCTCCTTGTAGCCCAGGATCGAGAATATGAATATTGTCTGAAAATAGGCAAAGGGGTGGCTGCTGTGAGTGGCTGTCGTGGATGGTGCTTCGATCTTACCAGCAGGAACACCGGACTGATGTACGTCCAGCAGATGCGCCAGAACAGTCCCGGCTTGGAGCCCAACATCTGCTCCACATCTGAGCTAAAGCGGTCCACGCCGTAGAACCAGAACACTCCCGCCGCCTCCACGAACACCACAAAGAGTATGGCCAGTCCGGGTCCGTAGACATTCAGGAAGTTGACCAGGACAACGCCTCCCTGGAAAATACACACACATTGCAATCAATTGAATCCTAGAAGAGATGTACCTGCCCTGCCCCTGTCATGTGTGTGTGTGGAACTGATTAATGGATGGGGGGGGGGACTGGCTTATTGAATAGCTTGATCCATTGACCGATAGAAGCTACTCCGAGTCGGAGCAACGCAGCAAATTACAATTTCAAATTTAATCAGATAAAGTGGCAGGAGAAGAAACGGAACGGACCAGCTTTAGTGTTTGAACAGCACCAGGAGACTGGCAGGCAGTCAGGCAGTCAGGCAGACAGCGCATCAGCGCACACACATCGCAAGGATAAGGTGGTTGCTGTTTGGTCAGGGTGGGGCAGGAGACCAAACTTGACAGGTGATAAAAATGCAGAAAAAAAAAACAATAATGGCAAAGACACTCGACGGACGAGTGTGTGTTGTGTGAAGATTAACTGGGGAACGATAAAAAGCACTTAACTCGGCCATCCATCGAGTCCAAGGAGGTGCGTGAGGATGGGATGCTGGGGGTCGGGCGCTTAATGAGCCGCCTGCATATGCATATGTATAAGCCACAATCTCACTTAAGCGTTAATTAAACGAATCACTGGACGAGCCTTAGACAGATAAACCCACCAGCTACCCCAGTACTTACATAGGTCATTGTGGGCAGGGCGCACAGGAAGATGAAGACGAGCAGCAGCAGGACGAACAACTCCCGACGCCTGCCAATCGCACGTGGATACTCGTCGCACAGCGCCGTTATCATGGCCTCCAGGCCGCCAAAAGTGCTGTCCAAGCCCAGGGTGATGAGCATCAAGAAGAATATGATGCTCCAGAAGACAGAGCCGCTCATCGTGGCTATGGCCTCGGGGTAGACGATGAACACCAGCCCGGGCCCCTCCAGGCCCACCTTATCAATCGATGTCTTCTGCACATAGGCCATGTATCTGGAATCAATCTGGAATCAGAAATCCGCCCAGCGGGGATTAACTCTCTCTCCCCGACTCACCCCAAGACCGAGAAGATGACGAATCCGGCCAGGAAGCTGGTCAGGCAGTTGATGGTGCTCGTGATGAGGGCATCGCGGTAGCAGTTGTTGTTGAATTTGTTGTAGCTGGAGAGGGCGAGGAGTGTGCCAAAGCCGGGGCCCAGGGAGAAGAAGATCTGCGAGGCCGCGTCTATCCACACCTTGGAGTTCTTCAGCTTGTGCCACTCGGGCGTCAGATAGTACTTGATGCCCTCGTCGGCGCCAGGCAGCGACACGCCGCGCACCAGGAGGATGATCAGCACCACATACGGGGCCAGAGCCGTGACCCAGACCACCTTTCCGGCACTCCGCACGCCCTTCCACAGCGAGAAGTACACCAGCACAAAGACCCCGAAGACGCACAGCGCCAGAGTGGGCTTCACCGGTCCCATGTAGTCCAGACCGTTGCCCTTGTAGCTCTCCAGGACCTTGCGCCTGCAGAATAGAATGCATTGAATACCAAAGTGAGGGCTCTGCGCTCCGGGCTCTGGAAGAGCTCTTACTCGAAGAACTCCTTGGCTGGCGAGGTGGCCAGCTCGGTGAAGTTCTCGCTGGTCACGGGCATACAGTTGTCCGTGTTCCACGGATTGTCGCACGACGTCCACGGCAGCTTCGAGGTGAACGAGGCGAACAGATAGTACACCGCCCATCCAATAATTGTGTTGTAGTACATTCCCATGTAGATGTCGATTAGGCAAATCGCATAGCCAACACCTGTGGAGTGCCATGCCATTAAAACGATTTCCTTTCCTCTCAACTTAACTTAACTTATATTTCCCCAGTTGCATTGCATGCCTCCCCCAGCCATAATCTGGCCTGGGACTGGCAACATTTCTGATTGAAAGAGCGATGGGAAATGAATAAAAAGGCAAAATTGGACAGGATTCCCACGTGACATTTTGCAGGTTTTTATCTCTGGCAAACGATTGCATCTACTTAGTCACACAGCTTTCCCTCTTTCCCCCGGCTATCCATTTTCCATTTCCATTTTACTTATGAGGCCAATAAGACACGTCACGTGATTCCCGGACGCTCCGCCAAGAATTTGCGCCGTCGGCTTCCGTTTCCCTCCGTTTGCTTTGCTTTCCTTTCGTGCTTTTTCTATTCATTTGAATCGCTCTGGCAAAAGGTTTCCCAAAGCAAACACTTGTTGAGCAAATGATGACTTGCCACAAAGTGATGTTTGCTGTTCTACTGAGGCGGAGGAGGGGGCCTCCATGGAGTAGGGAAAGGGACTTGGCCTAGACAAGTGACTTGGCAAAAAAACTTTTGACCGAGTTGAAAGGCAGATGGATGGCAAATCCATTGGAGCATTCAGAGAGTCGCTCGCCCTCGTCCTCACCCCGTCGTACATTTTGTTTGTCATTTAACGAAATTATCAAGTTGATATGCAAAACTCTCTGAATGGAACTGCTCTCATCGCTCGTTCGTTCGGCTCTATGCTGCTGCTGTAAATCAATTTTGAGCACAATTTAATTAGAGCCCCGCACTCGGATTGGCGGGGGGGCTGGGCTTGATTTGGGCTTTGTGTCGTTTTTGTCCACTTGAATGCGCAATTAATTGCTGCAACAAATCTTTGGCATTCAGCCCCAACGACTCTCTTATCCAACGTCCTGTTTGATAATGTCGCCGGCACACAATGACCCGCCTGCCGCCCTGCCGCCCACCCTCCCACTTAACTGTGGCCCAGCACCGAAAAAACAATGCAGAATGAACTGTGCTTCCTTTGTGCGGGCAGCCACTCTGGTAGCCGCTCTGGCTTAGTCCCAGATAATACGAGTTCACATTGCCAAACAGAGCGTGAAATATCAGACATCAACAACATACTCGTCGCAGTTACAGTCACAGTAGCAGCCACTCCTGCCACATGTCCAGATCCAGCCAGCGTATACTTAATTTTTCATTACAAAACACACTCGCCCCGGGGTCGGCCCGCCTGGCCCGCTTCCTTATTTCCCTCCCACATCTTGTGCAAATATTGAACGCTTTAATAGATTTCGCTTCAATATGCAATTTCGTTCTTTTTCATGTGATGTCTGTGCCGTTACAATATTTGCAATTCATTTAAATTGCCGTTTCATAGCGTATTTAAAGCGCTGATTGCCTGCAGGCAGAAAGTACATATGTATAGGTTTTTTTTTGGGTAAGGTAGGATCCGGGTATTTCGTTTTTTTGAACGTAAATTTCAAGCAGAAATTCCTTGCAGAAATAATTAAATATAAATAAAAATTTCATTGAAGCATAATGCAAGTTAAGAGCTTTCCCACTTGGATGGCTTTCCTACTTACAATAGATATTAACCAGATATTATACACCTTTTTAGTGCAATAAATTTGTAGTCTAAAAAATGGTTATTGTGGCTCACCCTTCAGTGCCGGACATATGCGCTTCCAGATGCTTAGGCAGCCGCAGCGATGAAATTGCCCGAGTGCCAGTTCCATGTAGAACAGCGGCAGGCCACCAAAGATGAGGAAGAGGCAGTAGGGCACCAGGAAGGCGCCGCCGCCGTTCTGGTAGCAGATGTATGGGAAGCGCCACACGTTGCCCAGATCGACGGCAAAACCGATGACGGCCAGCAGGAATTCGGCCTTCTGGCCCCAAGTCTCGCGGGTACGCTCCGTCACGGACACCACCAACACACGCTGCAAGCAGTTGGAAGGGCAACCAAACATAAATTAAGACCTAGACAATGAGAAGACAGGAAATTTCAAATGTAGATCACCTCATTGTTGGCGAGACGCGGTGCCAGCGGATCGGTGACCTTGGCGGGTGTGGCAAGTGTGTCGCCATCGTCCTCGTTGGAGTCATCCTCGTTGTTCGGCGACTCCTTGTTGTTGGTCCAGGGCGTGGCCGTGGATCTGCTCGCCTTCGAGGCTGAGCTTTGGCCGCCGCCGAACTCGGAGCTGTTATTCACACTCGCGCTGTGCTCCATCGTTCTGGGGCAGGGAACGACTGCTGCCAGTGCCTGTGCCTGGGCCTGGGCGGGGGGCGTGGCCGTGTACGCCGATCGCGGCACTAGCGTAGCCAGCCGGAATCGCTCCTCACACAGCTCAGGGGCCAGGGGCGAAAGGGTAGGGTGGGGGATTTGCCAAGGTCTCTTCCTCGGTCCTCTGCTGCACTGCTGCTCAGGAGCTGCTTCCTTGCAGTTTCCTTGCTCGTTTCCGGCCCGTTTAGCGCTGTGGTCGCGTCAATGGCATTTTCCCCCTCAGCCTCTCACATGCTGCACGGCTCCGGCGGACTGGTGGAGGCTTCGATGCCTCTGCTGGCCATTAACTGCAAGCGGTTAAGCATTCAGATTAAATGGAGCTGCAACACGGATGCCATGGCCGATTCCACTTGGGAGGGGGGGGTAGATATTTATTGACTCTGCAAAGCCCTCAAGGGTAGAGTGGTGCCCATTCGAATTACCATACTCTCATTCGACCCATTCGACCCATTCGACCCTCGACTCACATACGATGACCGCTGCACATGCACATTGGATTCGGATACGGATACGGATACGGATTCCCTGCGGTGTCCTTTGCTGGCAATCTATGCCCCGGCGACCACTTGACCTACGCACAGCCCAAAAACCCATTCAATGTCAATGTTTTAAAGTGCCAACTGACCTCAGGACTGTTGTTTCACATTGGAATTGTTCCATTTAAGGGTTTAACATTATTTCATTGGGGGATATCCATCTAAGGTGGGGTCTGGATGAATTATTTGCTACTCTGCAGCCGACGGCGTATCGTCGTATGATTAATGTTAATGGGTTGGAGCCCCTAACCCACTTTGGCAAATGAATATACAATCTACAGAACGAATGACATGTGTAGCTGCCGCTCGCTGCTCTTTGCTGTGGGGAGACTTTTTAATTACCATTTAATTGTGGCTCACACAGAGATAGAGCACCGATGCGTGTGGCAACAGATGGAGGTGTTAAATGCGAAGTTCTGATAAGACAAGTGCTAAAAATAAGCCCCACGAAAGCAGCGCAAAACAATCAAAAGATACTTAGAGATACGATGGGGAGAAGAGTTTGCTTTAAAATAGGTTTTAAGTACGTATATGAAAATATTTAACAAAAGGAATCCCTGGCATTCAGACGGGATTAAATTAGGGAAAGTAAAACAATTATAAATCTCAAAAATCAATTAACAATTGTTAAGTTCTGTTTTAAATAATCATAAAATTTACTTACTCTCTTCAATGGTTTTTTAATAGTACTTTTGGTTTTTTTTTTTGTATTGTTTTTGTTGTTAGTCACTTTGAAAGACACTGTAAAATATTAGAAAAACTGTTGGAGGTTGGTCCTTGGTCCTCGAATTGAGAGACGCGCGCCGCTTCGCTGGGCCAACTGATGAATCCTCCGGCCGGAGTGCTCCTTTTATACGCGCGATGCGCAGGCGGGAGCCACGAAGTGCTCGGCAGCAGGACTAGCCGAGTCCCCTTCGTGTCGGGCACATGGGGCGTGGCTAAGTGGAGCTGTACAGGTGGCAAAGCGTAACTTAAATTGCAACAAACTGTTGCTCATCGAAGTTGATTGAATAGCCCATGCCCCACGAGTGGGGTGGCAGCCAGCCAGCCCGATTGACAAAAGTTTTATTTCACTAATTTAGCTGGCAACATAACTGGAACGAACTAAAGTTTCGTGTCTTTGGAAACTTAACACGGAAACGGGAGTCAGACTTTATAGATTTATAGCTGAGATTCCCATTGGGATTTTTTAGTAACACTTTTAAGCTGTGAAGCCTTCGGGTTTATCTTCTCTCACTTTCCTTTAGCATTAAATAGATAGTTAATTCGGTTGAATTTGGTTTCAGTTGGATCGAACCCAACTGAATTTCAATGGAAACTAAACAGAAACTCCAATCGCATTCGCATTCCCATTCCCTCGTGGAAATATCAAGTTGTTTACCATTTGAAGAGCTCTTGTGCTGCTGCCTGCCAACTCGATCGATAAAGAGAACTTCCAGTGAAGTCTCCAACAAAAAAAAAAAACAAAATAAACATTCATTCACAATCTGCTAATTATGCCGAGCGTAGCGGTCTTGGAGCTGCACTGGAGAATTTAAAACGCGGACTGCGGATCGACTGTCACGTAGGTAAATTAACTTAATTGCAGGTCGCGATGTGGCGTGGGGGCGAGTGCGGTATCTGGAGTGAACTGATTGCCACCGCCTGGGGCTGCACACGTTTTATGTGGTTGGGGTAGGCGAGAGATGATCTCCGATGAGAGCTGCGGGGCGCACTTCTCCCATGTTGACGAAGAACGATACTGACGGATCTGATCTATGATCTGATCTCTGGCCCAGTCAGCGTGGGCTGTGGGCCGTGGGCCGCGAGCCGCGCTCAGACGCTCTGTCTGTCAATGGGACATTGACAATGGGCCATTGAGATGTGCTTGCACAGACGACACTCAACCCATCCAATCTGCGGCTCTATTCTATGCCCAATCATGTGATTGGGCCCGCCACCTCTGCCCGCAGATCATCGCAGATCAGATACTCGTACGTTGGGGTGTGCGTTTTTGAACTATTCTGCCACAAAAGCTGGCTTGTATAACTGTAAGCCGATATCGCATTTCCTAGGCCCCACCGCAAACTACGTCATCTAGGAAAATGCAATCATTTGCTGCCGAAGAGAGGGGCTGCAGCTTAAAATATGATATAATTGGTTGTACTCCCACTCAAGTGCATTTTATTATACGTGTGTTTATATTTATGCATTTACATTGCAGCTTTATGAATCACAAGTGCTGAACGTAGACAATAATTAATTTCAAATTTACAATGATTTCAAAACTAAGTGGCGCCGAAATCTTCAGTGACTCCGCAACTGCTGAGAGCAAGTAAAACGGTCACACTTTAAGACAAGAATTCGTTCATTTGAACTAGCTCGTGTAGAACTCTGGCCTGTTAGATATGATTTCGCCTTATGTTATGTTAAGTTTGCGCCCTGTTATGGCGCAATAGCGTGCCATCGGAATATTTTGAAAATGACGTTTCTGAGGTTCCAGTCACACTCGACAAAACAAATCAAGTGATATATACTTTTGAAAATGACCGCCAAACTCATTTAGCGTAAAAAAAAAAATGTTCGTGGTGTGAGCAGCATGTTCTTAACGGGAACGCGTATGGAATGAAGATTCATTGTTGCGTCATTCCATACGCGTTCCCGTAAGATACATTTGATTTGTATGGGAAAAATTTCAGCAACATGGGGAAATGAATTAGCAGCATTGTTGTGCAACTTTGGCACGAAATGAGCAACAATCTGCATACCTTGAGAATATGGATATTATGGGCTTTAGATATTGTTTGTAATTTCAGGCTCCAATTAATGCAGAAACTTCTCAGTCTCTGTTTTAAAGATATTAACAAAGTTTTGCATCTCACGGGTTCCAATAATAGGTATCAGAACGGGGATAACTATATATATAAAACACAAACATGTGCATTAATAGGTAAAAAACATGTCAATCTAGGATAAAATCATAAATAATGTTTCAATGCAGCTTGGAACAAAACATTTAATACCAATGAAAAGAAATAAGGTATACAACAGTACATACGCATAGAAGAAATTTGGTTGACCAGCAACAATGACGTCACATTTAGTCAACATTTACGTTTTATGCTTTGGCCGTTTATGTTTGAACCTTTTTATGAAAACAATGCAATAAAAAGGACTCCTGAAAACTTGCCAATCTTGTAGAAAATTTTTGTATCTATCGGATAAAATTATTTTTTTAGGGCTGAGAATATCAACTAGCTAGTAATATTAACCTGAATATTAAAATTAGGAAATACGATTTCAATCAATAAAATAGAACGTTATCCCATTGTTGACCAGGGGGGTATTTAATGTTGCCACGAAATTTATGTAACTTCAACATATTTTACGCATTACAGGTGAAAGATGTCGGTGGTCATTTTTGTTTTTTAAGTAAAAAGGAGGATGGAGCTAAAAGGAGCCTTTACAAAAGAGTATTATTTTCCGCGGTTTAACTCAAGTTGTTCATCTGTTTAAATAGTAGGGCGTTAAGTGGGCTAAGGCCTTTTTTCTTTGGTATTTTTGCGGTATATTTTGGTATATTTGATCGATAAGGACTGGATTTTTTTATTTATTTAATTTTAAGGAATAATAGCAATAGAAAATAGCAAAATAGCAAAAAAGCGCTACGGCAGAGATATGCGCCTGACCAGACATATATCGCAGCTTTGGCAAAACCGTGTCCCAACCGACAGGCACCTCAACACCTATTTCTTCTTTGCGGTCGCGCGTCTTGTCCTGGTGTTCGTGCCGCAGCCGGGATATGTACATCCCGACGAGTTTTTCCAGAGCGTGGAAGTGATGACGGGTAAGAGGGACAGGGTGGCGCTTGCCGTTTTGCTGTAAAGACATCCTATTCCTTTGCAGGCGACCACTTCCGGCTGGAGCACACACGCACCTGGGAGTTCAACAACTCGATGCCGCTGCGGAGTGTCACCCTTCCGTTTGCGCTGCTGCGCGTCCCCTGGAGCTTCTACGAGTTCTGCGCCTTGTACATGCGGAACTTGTGGAATGTGGAGCTGATCAGCACCTACGCCTATGTGGTGTTTCCGCGGCTGATCTACACCCTGATCTCGTACATCAATGACTGGTGTCTGTTTCGCGTTTGCCGGCTGTACGGACTGCGCTTTGAGATACGCCTGCTGGCCATGGGCAGCTCCTGGGTGCTGCTGGTCTTCGGCACGCGAACCTTCTCCAACAGCCTCGAGATGGCCATGTGCTCGTGGCTGCTCTGCTTGGTGGCCGAGTGCATGCTGAGGACTAACACGGTGGTATACAAGAAGGAGTTTCTGGAGGAGAAGTACGACAAGGCGGAGTCCATCAGCGAGCGCGTCAAGATCTGGAAGCTAAAAAATGCCCTGCCGTCGCACAACTTCCAGCACATGTTTGTCGTGTCCAGCATCTGTGTGGCTGGCGTGTTCAATCGTCCCACCTTCCTGCTCTTTGGCGCCCCCATGGTCTTCTTCTGGCTGCTGCGCGGGATGGGTACACGCAGTGTAACCTTTCGGGACTTTAACCTGCGCATCGGACTCTTCTGCTTGTGCGCCCTGCCAGCGCTGTTCCTGTTCATCTTCTGCGACTCGCTGTACTATCAGCATCTCACCGTGGGAGAGCTGCACATGATGCAGCTGGGCATCGACAACTTTGTGTTTACGCCCTGGAACTTTGTCAAGTACAACCTGAACTCTGCCCAGACGGCCAGCCATGGCGTCCATCCGTGCTATGTCCACCTAATGGTCAACATGCCGCTGCTCTTCAATGTTCTCGCCCTGGCAGCCTTAGGGGCATTCGCTCAGATCCTGCTGCGCTTCTTTCGGGCCGAATACCAAGTGCTTCCGCGCTTCCAAAGCATCGTCTCGCTCATGTCCGGTGCCATATTTGTGCCACTCTTTTTCCTGTCGCTCATCAACCATCAGGAGCCTCGATTTCTTATCCCCATAACCTTCCCATTGCTTCTGCTGCATGCTCCCAAGCTGGTGACTGGCTTCAGTGCCAAGTATCCCTTCCAGAAGGAGCACCACCTGCTGCGCTGGTTCTACGATCGCCTGCTCTCCAGCAAAGCGTCAGCGCCTCATCTGCTGAGGATTTGGTATGTGAGCAACGTGGTGTTGACACTCTTCTTTGGCTTCATTCACCAGGCGGGGATTTATCCGCTGGCCGAGCACATGGCCCATGTGGTGGCCACCAAGCCAGCGGCCACACACGTTCACCTAATGACCTCGCACGTTTACAGTCTGCCCCTGCACCTGGTGAACATTCCCAGCTCCCGAGTGCTCCAATTCAATCCGCGCACCCACAGCCGCTATCGGCGCCAGCGGGACTTCTACCTGTACGAGTACGGGAGCCAGTCCTTGGACAATCTTTTGCACAAGGTCAAACTCATCAGCGGCAATTGCGAGGTCAAGTTATCCGGACCGAATCGGCTGCGCTACAAGCTGTACCTGTCCATTCCCGCCTCCTTGAGCAGCGATCTCCACGAGGCCTTGGTGCGCTCCAATGCCAGCAGCTATCTGAACTTTGAGCTGCTTCACGTGTTCTATCCACATCTCTCCACGGAGGCTTTTCCCCGCATACAGGGCCGCCATCCCTGCGATGTGGATGCACCGCACTGGGCCCACGACGACCTACGGGGCACCTGTGCCGTGGAGCAGCCGCCAGCCCTCAGCTACTTCTACCTCACGAAGCAGTTTAGCTCTTTCGTGCATCAGTTCGGGCTGGCGCTCTACGAGATCGATGTGCGCCGCAAGCGGCCGAGGCAGGTTGTGCGCACCCTAGACCTGGTGACGGCTCCAGCTCCTCCCCTGCCGGAAGCTGGGGCGTAAGAGTACACGTCCATTGCTGTGCAAAGTGTCCAAGAAGTGCCTTATGATAGAGTTGTTGGCTTGGAAATACTTCAATTAATAGTTAAGCTCAGATCCAGACACATTCCATTCTGCAACTTGTACAAAAACGCGTCTCTCGTGAGTGAACCGAGGGAGTTCTAGTCCATTAATGCATAATCTCTGTTAATATTATGACTATGTTTGCATTTGTAATACCAAAGAATTAATCTTAATCTATTTGATAAGTGTGATGCATACGCGGGTCAATCGATGGTCAATTAGCCATGACAATAATACTCGGCAGGTTCAGAGTGGAGTGCGTTGGCGCTGCCGGAGGGGGGCATAAACAGATGCCAGGTGAGATCTCTACCCACACAGCAAACACACACACAATAATCAATTAACGCAATCGGTAATCAGAATCGTTCATTTCAGTTGTCACCCAGTTGGACGCCAAGCGAAAGAGGGAAAGAGTAATCCATTTGACACGGCATCGACTGCTAATACCCGGCAAACATCGGACGCTGAGTTGGTTCTGCCACAAAGGTGCGGCGGCAATGGCAATGGCAGTGGCAGTGGCAGTGGCAGTGGAGTCCGCGTTCATTGAACGTTACCATGCAGAAATTCAATGCGGACGCAATTGTGTTCTAATTTAGATTTCAGTTGTTATTTGGGAATGCCTGCCTGCCTAAGCCGTAAACCCGTTTGGGTTGCGGGCAGGCAGGCCTCCCCCACGCCACGCCACGCAGCACGCAGAGTTGGCCTATAAAACGATCGAGCTAATTGGCAAACAGCATCAGTCACTGACAAACCAACCAACCCAAAACAGTTCAACATGAAGGTAAGCCACTGCATGCCTGGGTATGCCCAGGATGATCTGGTCTCGCTAACGTTTACCCATTTATCCTTGCAGTTCCTCATCTGCTTGGCTCTCTGCTTCGCCGTCGCTCAGGCTGGCTTCCTGGCCTCCCCGGTTACATATGCTGCTGCTCCATCCTATGCTGCCACCTATGCCGCCGGGCCCGTGGCCTACTCGGCTCCCGTGACCACCTATGCTGCAGCTGCTCCAGCTTATTCCACCTATGCTGCTGCCGCTCCAGCTTATTCCACCTATGCTGCTGCTGCGCCGGCCTACACCGCCTCGGTGTACGGCGCCCCCGCCTATACCGCTCCTGTGACCACCTATGCCGCTGCTGCTCCTGCCTACACTTCCTATGCCGCGGCTGCTCCTGCGTACTCCACCTATGCTGCTCCAGCCATCGTCAGCCCCTTCCTGAAGAAGAAGTAAACGCTCGTCCCGTGCTTACCTTCTGGTTCATCCAGCCGAACAATATGACAACTAAATAAAGCTCCCAATCAAGCGAAACTTGAAATTAGCCTTGAGTTATCTTCAAAACAATAAGGGGGACAGAATCAGGCCTCACGGGGGTTCCAGTTATCCAGTTTTCTTTATTTATTAATGGCAGATACACCTTGTTAAATGCTTAATACATACGAGACCGTCAGTGGGTGACTCTATGGCTATCTTCTTTTTTTTTTAAGAACTATCGAGTGGCAGAAGCGAAATATAAAACAAATTGCGATGTAAGACTTAGGATTAGCACTAGAATTCGAAATTGTGTGTCGTGGGGACTCAGGCTCGGGCTCAGGGTAGATTTTGGCTCAAGTAAATGGGACTTTTCGGTGCGTCGACATCCTCGAAGACTAGATCGTCCTCGTCTTCGTTCCACCGCACAGTGCGCACGCTGAGGCCCCTGCCAGTCGGTTATCGGGGGGGTTGGTTGGCGATACGGGGAGAGAAAGTAATTTCAGAATATATAGACTTTGTCGCTGTGAACACAATAAGAATTTGTGTGTGTTTCGGTTGGTAATTTTGTCACTGGCATTCCGCACAACATCAAGATTCGATCAAATCAACAAAATCAATCACCAAAAAACCAAAAATCAAATCCAAAACAAAACAAAATAATAATACTCAAACGCAAACTCAAGACCACAAAAAACAAACATCGGCAACTGAATACTATGGTTAATAACGTTGGTAGAACCTGTTCATGCCGGGCACTGGCGGTGGTGGGGGCGGGGGAGCGCCGCGCGGAGGCGTGCGTCGGGCACTGAAAAATTACAAAAAAATCTTTGTTATTGAGGAAAAGTATTTGGGGAAGTACATCAAGGGTCTGTCTTACGCTGCTAGGTCCGCCTCTAGATGTGCTCCAGTACCGTAGGCATCGCTTTCATCAAAGTCAAACTCATCGGTACCAGTGCGTTGCCTGTGGAAAAGGTTGAATAAGTAGGTAGACATGGGTGTGGGACTCAATGACTTTGCTTATGGCTGGGTGAGAGTTGAAATGGAGCGTTGGGGGGAGCAGGCACACTCAGGGGACTGGAGCTGGGACTGGCATTGGGACACTCACACACGCTGACTCCGCTTGTTGACAATATCCTGCACTGCTCGGGCAGTCAGCGAGACCTTGCTCTTCAAACGCATCGGCGTGCGGGGCATTGGAACGGCGGCCGGAATATCTGGATTGACTCTCAATACGGGCGTTACGGGACGACGAACCATTTCGCTGCTAGCTCTATCCGCGTTGGTACTACGTCTGGCATGAAGAAGAGGGGGCACACAGAGAGAGAGAGTGAGGTGAGCCAAGGACACGCGGGGCGGACACTTACAACTTTTGCTTAGTACGGAGATTTGAGCGAGTGTCTGTCGCCTGTGACTGTGACTGTGATTGTGATTGTGATTGCGACTGTGGCTGTCGGCTGCGATGGTCGGACCGATGTTCGGGACTGGCACTGGACTGGACATTGGATCGCCACCCAATGTCATCGGGTGCCACATTAAAGTCGTACTCCTCGGTGCCCTGTCTCCGACTGTTTTTCGTTGGGGGGGTGGCGAAAGAGATCAGCTGTCAGAAGGTGAAGAGAAGGGGTAGGGGACAGTGGGGCCTACTAACTTACAGAGCAGGTGGCTTGATCTTATTTCTCGACTGCCAAACATTGAGAATCTTTCTAGTCTGACTGGTCTCGCGCTCATTGGAGGTGGCTCGACTGGGACCACTGGATGAGCCCCAATTGTCATCCTCGGGGTCGTGCCGCCTGCCGCAGTCGATGCATGGATGGAATGAGTCTGAGAGATGGCACACAATCGATGGATTCACCAAAGAGATCGATACTCACAGCTGCTGGCGGCTGCGACTGCGCACGGGCGTGTTGATGTTCGGCGAAACGTCCCGCCCGCGACTCAGCTCCCGCTCCCGACTGTGCTGATCGCGATCCAGCACCCGCTCTCGCTCCATCTCCCGCTGATTCTGCTCCTGTCGCCGTTGCGATGGTTGCTGCTGCTGCTGCTCCTGTGGCTGCCTAGTTGGAGTCGAGTCCTCGTCCAAGTCCAGTGTCTCCTCGGTGGCGGTGCGGCGTCTGTGGAGTGGCAATTATTCAGATTAATCCCATTCTGAGTGACCATCTACTTACAGCGGTGGCCTGGGCCGTGCCGTGCTGCTCGTGCTGCGCTCCCGGCTCTGCTCTCGACGGCCACTTCTGCCAGTTGCCGAGGCACTGCTCGTCCGCTGCTTCTTCCGGCCGCCCCGACTGTCGCTGCGCTGCTCCCGCTCCCTCTCCCGCTCCGGACTGCGATCGCTCCTCCGCTGCTTGGCCTTGCTGCGGGACTGCGCCGCCTGCATCACATTCAGGCGTGTTTGGATGGTGATCAGATTGAGGCCCACGGGGGTGCCAATGGCCCACAGGAGCAGCGTGAGCAGGATGAAGAAGGTGAGGCCGTTGACAAAGTCCACCATGTTGCGGCAGAGGAAGGTGCGGCTGGCGTCGAAGGTGTCGTAGAAGGGTCGGCACTTGGTGGTGGTGTCGCCCAGCTGCGATTCCATTGTGGCTCGACTGCTGGTCAAGTACGCTTTCAGGCTGAAGTGCAAAACCAAACAAAATCCAAATGGCAGCAAGCAAACAAAAAAGGGTTCACCCCGCACCCCTCTGGAGCTTCAGGGCCGTCGCCTCGTTGCATGTGTTTCGTTTCGTTTCGTTTCGTTTGTGTTGCACACGCACACAAAATGCAATCATGACACTTGGCAAACTTAATCAAACGATTACGACTTTCAATTATCTGATAAAAAGGAAAACTATGTGCAGTCATTTACCCTCCCCTGCCCGTGCCCCTGCCCCTGCCCCTGCCCCACTGTGTTTCAGTTGTTTCAGTTGTTTGAGTTGTTTGTTTCTCTGCCGGAATCGGAAAGACACAACAACAATACAACCCACAACCCACAACCCACTCGCACACCACGACCCACAATGCTGTTTGGATTGCCACAGGGGTGCACTGGGGGAGGGGGTGACCGTAACTTTCGACAGAGAATCTCTGAGAATTTGGGAGCAATTAACTCTGACCAACGTGCGTGGGTGTGTGGGAAGGGGGAATACTCCTACTCCCACTCGTATAATTTATAATTTAGTTTTGGGTGGAGGGGTTGACTTACCGGTCCGTGTAGTGACGGGTCATGTTGTGGCAAATCTCGCCGGCCTTGTTCTCCAGGTAGCCCTGGATGCTCTTTAAATGGTTGAGCGTCTGATTCACCTGCTTGGCCCAGGGATCCCGCTGCAACTCCAGCGCCGTCAGATGGTACAGTATCTCGTTCTGCAGATTCTCCAATGGCTGCAGAATCGACGCCTGCAGGCGCTTCGAACGGCTTCCCAGGGTTGTCATGCGCGATGATGTGGCCACGTCCTGAATCTGGAAAGCAAATCAAACGGGGGAGTGGTCTGTATTCAAGTCCGACCCGTAATGGAAACTAATCAGCCGCTGTCATCGCGGCGGTTAAGCGCATATGTAGCACCATACCTGTAGGGCAACTCTCTGCATTTGATCAATGAAAGTTGCCAAATCCTTTTCGGGGGTGGGCGCCCCCACGCTGCTGCGGTAGGTGGTCAGATTGAATGCGGACGTCTGCAGCATATTCTCCAATATGTTCTGGACCGATTGGGTCAGCGAGAGCAGCGTGCGCCCGGACACGGAAATTGAATCGATGGCCGTCGAAACTTTCGGGAACTGTTTCAAATCAGCTATTTTGGTGGTATTCACGAACGCATCCAATTGAAAGACATTGTACGACGCTTGATTTTGTTCGCAGCCCCTGTTTGATGGGCGACAAGTTTTCAAAAAAGAAACGTCAAAGGAATTTGCTTTGCCGGCGCATTATACTCGTAGCTTGCAGCCGCATCGAGCACGGATTTTGTGGGACTGGACCAGGAACCGCAGGCACACTATCTCGTAGCTTACATGCACACATGGGGCGGATGTGGAGGATGGGAATGGGCACACAAATTTATGCCCACTAGCCCAGCCCCAGCATCAGCCCCACTCCAGCCCGCCTGCATGCGAATTTTGTATCTGTTCAGATAATTGGAATCGTGCTTAAAATTTGCGGTTGCAAGTTCTGTGTGTGTGGGTGGTGGCTGGCTGGCTGGCTGGCTGGCTGTGTGCGTGTGTGTGGTGCGTGTTTGTGGGTGGATTGGCATTGGTATGTTCTTCGTAAAATTGAGTGCCATGTGGCTAGCAAATTTCATTGGGCTTTCAAAACTTTGTGGCTTAGGTTCTCTCCGACTGCCGCCTGACAGGCCTGGGCTGGGCTGGCCCTGGGCTCTGGGGATGGATGGGATTTGAAGCAGAATAACTTTTGTAGTCTGCAGAGAGTGCGTTGTGGTTGCAGGGCTGTGCGAGTTGGTCAGTGACAAGTTTTGGCTTGCGTGGTATTGGCAAAAGAAAACTTATAAGTGGTTGGGGAGAGACAAGGCGAGGCGAGGCGGAGAGGCTTGCAATAAACACAGAAACGGGTAATCACAGTGGAATCGCTTAAGAGGGTCTCTGACAGTCATTTGATTAGCACTCAAGGAGTGCTAAGTGCTGCCAGTGTGTCCCGTATTGAGCGAGCAGTGTGCACCTATGAGTGGGTACACACTCAGCTTAATTGCTCGTCGAACTTTTAATCGATTCGACTGTGAAAACTTTTGTACATTATTTTTGTTGTTGTTGTATTTTTTCTCTTACAGGGCCAATGGACTCGTTCTCTGGGGACTTTTGGCGAGCGGGCAATCAAAATTACAGGCACGTACAGTATCAAAGTAATTGGATAACAAAATTCGTTACTTCAACGCTGGATTGGTTGTTGTTGGTTGTTTGGTTGGTTGGTTATTGGGCTGCTCTACCTGGGAACGGGAACTCTAAGTACACATACAGATTAGTGGGCGGGGCACGTGAAGATCGCGACTCACCTGAGGGCGGCGCCGAGGCTGACATTCACCACGGACCGATTGACGCCGGCCGGTCGCAGCAGCTCCCCAATGATGCCCGTCTGGGGCTCGCGGGCATACACATAGCCGGGCTTGTCGAATAGCTTACCCAGCATATCGTAGTCCTTGTCGTAGAGCGAGCGGCAGAGGAAGACCTCCGTGTTGCCGCCGACGGCCAGCGAGAAGACACCGTAGAAGGTGAGGGCGACGCTGGCGAGGCAGATGATCAGCACGGCCACGAAGAAGACCACGCCGGACTTGGTGTTCGATTCGCAGAGGAAGCAGCAGTAGGACATCAGCATGAAGAGCATCACCCAGACGATCACCATGGCGGCTATCCAGCCCATGCTCCAGTACATGTCCGCCCACTCCTTAAGCTCATTGTAGGCCGGCTGCATCGAGGGCCAGGTGCCCTCCAGTCGCTTCAGCACCACATTGATGGCCGACGTCAGCTGCTGTGCGTTCGCCGTTGTCCTGTGACGAATGCTCGACAATTGCTCCAGAGTATCTGTTGGAAAGTTTGTGTGTATATTCAATTAGCATCCATAAGCCACAACCAGGCGACACTAATTAATATTGAGCTGTGCTGTGCTGCCGCTTTGTTTCGGAAATTGCATTACCAGATTCATGGGCTTACTGCTATGTGGGTGGAATGTGGGATGAATGGATGGATGAAAGGATGTGTGCCATTGATTGAGTTGTACATTTAAATTGAGGCCATAATCAAGTTTGGGACTTGGACAATGTGCAACGTGGGGATTTGTGCGGCGTCGCACAGCTAGCAACTAAGTTAAAATTATTTGGGATACTGCATGGAGTGAAGTAAATCATTCTGCTAGCATTTACTTATCTTTATCTTTATCTGTATATTTTATTTGATTCTATTTTGATTGCTGTACTCACAGTTCCGCTCATATGCCGTGTCATGTTTAACTTGTTGCGGGAAATTGCTGAAAATGGAACGTGACACGCCAACTTCCGATGTCAGGTTTTTGACAGTGGCACCAAATTCAATTTCGCCCAAGTAGCGCATTCGGAAGATGCTCTGGTCCTCTTGCAGCTGACAAATTGTCAACGTTTTCGTTGCGTTGTGTCCAGGAAATGAGAAATGGCGTGGCAAAATTAGAAGAAGAAAAACACAGCCAGAGAGTGAAAGGAGAGCGATGAGAACGTTGGCAAAGTAAGAGCAGAGAATTATTTAAACCCTTAAGACAAAGGGAGAGAGAGAGAGAGAGAGAGAGAGAGAGAGAGAGGGGAGAGAGAGAGAACTTACAGTTTTCAGGGCATCGACGACGCCGTTCTCCTCGAAGCTGCGTATACGCAATGTGTCGCAGAGCGGCCTGTCCCGGTACGTGCACTGCCGCTGCAGCACGGACAATTGTATCTGCAGCTCCTCCATGCGTGCCGCCGCCTCCTGGGAGAGCTTCAGGGCCCGGCCGACAGTCTCCTGCAGCATGAGGACGCGATAGATGAGCTCCGCGTTCGCTGGTCGCAGCGACAAATGCACGAAAATATTATTATTTCGACTATTATTATGGGATATTTATTCGGCCACGAGTCGGGAGTGGGGAGTCGGGAGTGTCGGCAGTGTCGGCAGTCGGGATCAAAGGAGACTGATTCTAAATTGCACATTGTGTTCGAAGGCAAACATAATGGAGCTGTCGTCTTGCCATTTGTCCTGTCACGCGGCTGCAAAGCGTCTTGTGGGAGCTTAAGTGGGCTGCCGGAAACAGCTGCCTCCGTCTGCCTTCTCCCCAATCCAATCTAATCCGACCAATTGCCTTGCTTGTACAGCTTAAGCAGATGCACACGCATATATGAAGGCACATCTATCGCCTGTTTTGGCAAAAATTTAAGTCAAAGAATGGCCACAGCTTAAACGGGTTGACCCGCAACGACAAACGAAAAGGTCACCATTTCTACGCCCTCTGGGCACGAGCACTGTAATTTATTGAGCCTGGTTTATTGTCATGTTTGTGCAACACGACCGCAGCTAGGCCTCCGATGACCATGCATTGTCGTGCCACAATGAACAATGGAATTTGGGTCAAGTCCGCAGCCGGACAATCGCATTGCAATTGCAATCGGTGGAGCAGGGAAGTGGGGTAAAAGGGTAAGCGGGCAAGCGGGCAAGCGGGTAGCACTTAACCAGAATACTTACCCAGGCTAAGTGTCGTCAATGAATCATATGCCAGCTCAAGGCCAGTGTGTGCAGATATTTCCGCTTGAATTGGCTCGCCGAGGAGAACATCCACGTCTGTGGAAGAGTGCCACACGGCAAACACAGTATGCATGTATGTATGTACGCGTATCAGTATGTATTTTGGGAACACGCATAAGGAGGAGGAGGAGGAGGAGGACGGGGGGCCAAGGAGTGTACAATCACTGCCATAACTCAGAATGCAGTGCGGTAAAAGTTTTAGCATAATGCATGAATCGAAAGCTATAAATGTACTCGGGGCGGGGCAAGGCGAGGCGACACAAAGTTGGCAAACGGCGAATGGCGGAAACTTTTGTGACGCCCCTTCGCCAGGGCCAACTTCAGCACTGACCTTCCAAGTCTTTGACGACTCTCTCGACGGAAACATGAAAGCCATTATCCAGTTTGTGTTTGATCTGCAGATGCGTGTCCTTGAGGAAGACCTCCACATCGTGCACGGCTGACTTTACCATCTCGGGCGTCATCTCGATGCCCGCGGAGAGGCGGCTGTTGGCATAGAATATGCTCAGGTCGCTCAGCCTGCAAGCAGCCATGAAATCTCTCGTCGCCTGGTAACCCTTCAACCGGAACTTACGTGAGCAGCACAAAGACGATCCAGAGTGTGACCAGGCCGGCGCTCTTGCGGCACCGCAGACTCTCCTCCAGGGCCTCGTCGCGTATGTGGACGGGGGCCCTGCGTATGTGGTCCACCTCCTCCTGGGTGGAGCGGCGGCTGCAGCACCAGGCACAGGTGGCAATCAGCGGAACCAATGCCAGGATGGCAAAGATGCTCATCAGGCCAATGAAACCGGACTCGATTTTGATGGCCTAAACGAGGATGGGTTGAGAATTGAGTTTATTTGCTTGGCCACAGACACAGCACAGCGCAGAGCAGACCCATCCACTTACATTGGAGGCAAAGTCGAGCAGGCTGACATTTCTGTGCAGGACATCGCGTATGGAATCTGGAAATCGATTTGAAGGAATCTTTACTCAAATGCTACCAAAGAGGGTCTTATGTTCGCTGTCTGTATTCGTTTTTAATGCACATTCAGGTCGGAGCAGTCGCTGGCAGACTGCTGCGGCTGCTCCTCGTGCATGTGCTGGATGACGACCACATTGCAGAGATTCGCCTCGGCCAGGGTGCGGGCGTCCGTCTCCTCCAGCTGTTCGCGGGGAAAGCTCGTCATCAGCACGAAGCTGCGGCTGGAGTACTGGGGCCGAGCCAGTCGGATATAGCGGTAGAGGTCGGCCACGTTGTGGGTGGGATTGAAGCGTGCTGAGATGCGGCTGCCATCGGAGAGACGCAGCTGGACCGTGATCAGGGCCGACCGCTCGTTGAGGTTCAGCCTGCCCTCGGCATGCTGCTCCTGGCGCCTCTCCAAGGACTCGGGCGGCGAGGCAAGCGAGTCCAAGCGAGTCGAGGGATTGCCCAGGGGGCGTCCCGAGCCCAGAAACTGTTTGCGCGTGTGTCGCCTGAAGGGTTCGTTGGTGTGGTCCTGGACACTCAGCTCCAGCCGTTGGCCAAGCACAAGCATCTCCTCGGGGAAGTCGCCCCGCAGCACGGAGCGCAGAAAACGTTCGTTCTCCGGCACATCGTACAGCCTGAGCGAGCCGTCGTCCAGGGAGAAGCCCTCCGACCAGAGATGCAGCACCACAATGGTCTGCTCGCTGTCGTTTGGCTCCGTGTCCGAGTCCTGATCCGCGCTCCGCGGTGGCGGCGGATTGATCGGATGAGCGCTGCCCAGCCGGAGGCCTTGCCCCCAGACACGCATGCTGCGGATGCTGTCCACATAGGTGAGGGCCGGCGTGGAGTTCTCGATGCTGACGCGCTTCTCCGGCGGGGTTATAGTGTGGTCGGAGCTCGCGGTAAAGAATTCCTCCGGGTCATCCTCCTGCTGGCTGCCCGATTGGGGCTCTCTGTTGCTGGACGCCTCAATGGCATTGCTGCTGCCGGCGCCCGTATCCGACTCGTACGTGCCGCTGGCCCGCTCCAGGGCCCAGTCGTTGGCGGCTAGATAGTGACGGGCCACATCCTCCTGCACGCCATGCTTTTTCATAAAACTGTTCAGCTTCTGCTCATCGGACATTTGGCAATTTTGACAGGGATCCCAAAAAACATATTTTGCTGTGGCTTGCTCACTGTATCCAGGCCGCCTTTGGCCGCACCTCGAACCAAGCAGCCAGCCCACTTTCTCTCCCGAAGCCTCATGCGCATCTCTGGCCACGGATACTAGCATTAAATCGAATGCCGCTGGCCAAGGCCGATTCATGCACCATCCTTAGCATCCTTAAACTTCTCAACTGAGGTGAAGGACTCCCCACACCATCGGCACTCCCTGAATGCGATATGGCATCTCCATCCACCCTTGCGCCCTCCTAAACACACACACAAGTGCACTCGCAAAAAGATATTCGTCTAGCTGTGAATTTGGGAAACTTGAGAGGTAACACCTTAAACTGAAAGATTATCTGACTATTAAATATTGGGGAAGCGATTTGTGGATTATAGACTGGAGCATAAGTAATCCCTGGGCGATTTTCTCAACTCGATAACAGTTTTCTCCCAGTGGAGGCAAGCCACACCACACATCATATCCGTTGCGACCAACGACCATGGGGATGGTGGGGGAGCAGGACTTACCGAGCGGCAATTCTTCGGGCGTGATAAGCGATAAAAATTCACTAACGTAGGTGAATATAAATGGTCCTGGCGCTATGTCCATGCCCGGTATGCTGTATGTAAAAAATGTGGCTGGCGTTGTTGTCGGCGACGGTGTCGGTGTCGAGGTTGCTGCTGAGGCTATGCTCGTCGCTGTGGCCGCTGCGAAACTCGCCAGTGCCGCTGTGGTTGGTCCTCCCATTAGAGCTCCCACTGCTGCTGCTGATGTTGCTCCAGCTCCTGCGGCTGCTGATGATGACGAGGACATAATTGTTGTTGCGGCTGGCGGTGGCAGTGTTAGATTACGCAGGTCCATCTTCGCCGCCCTTTCGGAAATGTGTGTGTGTTTTGTGGCCAGGCCAGGCACGAGACCTCCTCCAGGCGCTGTGCTGTGAATGAATAAATATAGGAACCAGGCATATGACCATGAATATCACTCGTACACACACACACACCCATGTAACTAGTGCGGGTAGGGGGAGAGAGCACAGAGGATGTTGTAAAATATTTTTGGAATTTTATGTTCCAATTATGCATTCATATTGTACATACACACATATGTATGTAAGTCTGTATGTATGTATGTGTTTGGCCTGTGTGGCATGGCACTGGCATTGTGTGGCAGGGACATGGATGAGCCCCAGCAACTTACAAAGAATATGTGTGACATATACCAAATTAATGAGTATTGCGGCAGCCTGAGGAATTTTCCCATTATTTTTCCCGCAAATGAATTTAGTTGGTACTGTAAATTGTTTGCCCAAAAGGGCGGCCCAACTTTAAGTTGTAGTATATTACGTATACGCAACGTGCGCCTAGGCTCTGTTTCACTTGAAATTTTCTTTGGCATTGCTGGCCCCTGAATGGCGACGCCTTGAATTCAATTTTTCACTTGTTAATTCTATTAATTTTTTTATTTTATGTTTCTTTTGCTGTCTTTGCCCTTTCCCATGCTGTCAACATGCTAAAAAAAAAGTTTCTATAGAAAAGGAAGCTATACATGATATCCAATGGGTAATGACTTTCAGAGACTCTCTCTCTATCTCTCTCTCTCTGTTGCTTCTCTTTCTCTGTTTCTCTATTTCTCTATTTCTCTGTTTCTCTGTCTGCCAACAGACATCTCTCTTGGGTGCAGCTACCCAAGCCAAGAAGCCCCGCAAGTTCTGCCGGGCGAACTCAACTCATTTGTTTTCCTTGACAATACCATACCGTATGCAGCGTACCGTGCCGCTTGCCACTTGCCGCCTGCCGCCTTTATCGGCCATTCATGCTGGCCATTGGCCACTGCTAATTGCTCTGCCCTGGGATTTACACTGTCCGGCGGAATTAGAACAAACCAATGGCGCTGCCCAGCAAAAGTTAAACAGTCTTGAGACCGAAAGTGGGTCATTAAAACTCGATACCCAGCATGGTTTTTGTGTGTGTGTGTGCCTGTCTCCCCCATGTGCGATTATGTTGGCCCAATGGACACGAGTCAAGGCGCTCGAATTTGCTGGCCAAGCTCTTTTGAAGGCAACTCGATACGCAATGTGCTGAAAGGCAAGTCGCCCAAGTTGTTGTCGCCCATTATCTGGCCATTGTTGTGCTCCCTGCCATGGCTGGCTCTTTATAAAGATATTAGTTGAAGCCGTTTTATGATAGCACTCCAAGCATTATAATGCGAGGTGGCAGAGTTCAATGCATTGGGTCACACACACACATGTACATAAAGACTTTTGTGTAAGCGCTTTCGCTGCGGCTTAGAGTGGAGTTATTGGAGTGGCTTTGCTGCAGTGGCAGCACAGCTGCTACACTTGCCATCGAAGTACAGTGGAAGCAAAAAGCTATGCAAATACGGGTAGTTGGGTAATACCTATAAGGAACGCTGTGTAGCTTCCCACTTGGCGCACACTAAGAACCGAAAACTAAGACCGGAAAGTGGGCACTTCACTGTGCAGTAGGCGTCGATTATGAAGTTGGCAATTTGCATTCATCCCCTCGCCCTACAGCGACACAGGGCTATGCCATAATGAGTTAGACTTAACGCTCCAGTTTTTGCTAGTGCGCCAGATTCGATTAATTAATTAATTGCACGGTAAATGAACTTACGCACCTCGCTCGTTGGATTTCCCTTCCTAATTGATAGACTTCCAAATCGAAGCGACGTCTCTGCACTCACACTCACACACTCTCTGCTGTTACACACACACACCTGTTGCGCACTCTCTCTCTCTCTACGTTACTGGATTACGAAGTCATATTTTTAATTGAGTGTCATTTAATATCAAATGCAATTAGTTTGATATGTGAATTTGGCCAGCGAGCAGGTATTTATTTATTATTTAAATTATGGTGAAACTGATTCGTTGCTAAACAAATTCGAAATTTGAATTATTTGCATGTCGCACACCCATTCACCTTATGCGGAATTCATTAACTCTGCCATTCAATTTTCATTCACAGACACAGTCACTCACTGGATTATTTGTTGTTTATTTCAGCAAAATTAGTTGGCAAAATGATTGGCTATGCCGATGATGATGATGATCGGGTGTGTGTGGGTGTCCTAGCGCAGCGATTCGATTGACCACAAAGCTTGACAAGCGCCGTCGGCCGACTGAACGGTGAAAGGTGTTGGGCCCCAATAATCGGCAAAAGAAAACTTAGAAATTTTTCTCTGTTTTACTTTTTGCGGTGGCCGAGCAGCAAGAGGGCCGTGTGTGGTGAATTTCTACACCAAAGAGAGGCTAACCATCTATCCCACAATTAACGCAATGCATGGAATAAACATGGATGCACCTTTATCGCAAGCAAGTGAACCCTGTGAATGTATGGTAGGTTGCTTTAAACACAATCGATTCTGCCCATACCCAAGTCGAACCTTCAGAAATCCATTCCATGGCTGCAATCTTTTGGGGGAGCTAACGTTTTGGAAGTGGAACTATTAGTTGGGTCTCCTGGGCGCTGCCGAATATAGCGCTCGAGTACTAACGACCAATTTCGCAGGTTCTGTTTGTGTTGGCTGCTGCCGGCTGGCGGCTGGCGCCTTGAGCTTTGCATTAAGTAGACTTTGTTTTAAAGTTGCATGAGCTGCAAGCTCAGGGCAAACTTTTCCCCAACGTCGGAGCGGAGCAATGCAGATCTGAGCTGTGCTCACGTTGCCAGGGCCCCCACGGCATCTTCCTCAACATATTGTCAGAGCTGTCAGCCGCGGGGGGAGGGTGGTGGTGGTGGTGGCGCAACGTCAACAACGATGCAATGCCTCTGCCTCTGCCGCTGTGGCAGCTTGGGCCCGGCAGCCTGTTCTGCCTGAAATTCAATTTGCTTTTGATTTATGCACTTTCCCTGAGAATTGCACGGCAGCCTGAAAACGCTTTCAGACTTTAACTCTGAAATTTTATCAAATATAAATGATGACATCCACATCCCCTGAGGTGGTATGGACCCGGTATTTGGGTTCATTTAACTCCAGCAAACTGGCATTGTGGGTGGACTGAGCGTGGACAACTCCCAACTACGATTAAGATTGGGATCCCCATTTATATTAAATCATGATGCCGAACAATTGGGAGAGCAGCAACGCAATGAGCGTGGCAATCGGGGGGCAGGCATCGCCTGCCCCTCCAGTCAGCTTGAGGACCGTAGTCTTGATCCACTTCTCGTGGTACGAGTAATTTGTGAACTTCATGGCATTGCCGCCCTCGCACAGGTTGGAGCCGCCAATGATGCCAGCCAGCCAGTCCCTGCATATCAGAGGACCGCCCATGTCGCCGGGACAGAATTCACCGCTGGCATCGGGCTCGGCGCACAGATGGCCCCGGCTGTTGTACGATGAGACCTTTCCCTCGCAGAAGCTGTGATTGCGGATCACAACATCCAGGGAGAGGATCAGGTTCGAGTAGGGGCCGTGCTGGAGGCGAAATCGGTGGCTGCTACATTTGCGGCTAGAACTGGAGCGGCGTACGTACCGGATAGACCTGGCCCCAGCCCATGGTGATGCAGTGCATGCCCACGGTGACCCGGGAGCGGTGGCGCATCAGCATTGGCCGCACGTTGATCATGTTGCTGGGAATGCGCTTGCTCAGCTGCAGCACAGCCAGATCGTTTTCCTTGTAGCGTTTGTAGTCGGGATGCAGCACCAAGCGGTCCACGCGTCTGCACTCCTCCAGCTCATAGAAGCCCAGCCGCCGCGTGTTTCCGAACACAATCAGCAGTGCCCGCGGATTCATGGCAGCCTTGAACCAGCTGTACCAGAGCCCTGTCAATGCGTGTCCTGCTACTCAAACTTCCACTTACTCAGTGACGCAGTGGGCGGCAGTCAACACCGCCCGACTGCTGACCAGGACGCCGCTGCAGAAGTGGTTGTCGCCCCTGAATTCAATGTAGTTGAGGGTTCGTATGGAGACGATGTGCCTGACCAGAATCCCACTGTCCGGTATATGGCCGCCGGCAATTAGCATCTCGAAGGTCTTGTCGTGCAGATCGGCAACGACACCGCGTTTGGCCTCAGCGGCCGAGCTCCACAGGGAGACTCCCAAAACGAAAGCAATAATTAGCATTTCCCAAGGCAAAAGCAAAACAGAACAAAACAAAACAACACAACACAAACTCAATGTGTCAGATTTAAAGGGGGAACTCTGCTGGAAAAGCCTTTGCATTGCATTTATCCGCAGCAGCCTCCGCAGCATCCCCTGCAGCAGCCACCGCAACATCCTCTGCAGCAGCCACCGCAGCACCCACCAAGTGAACCTTCTAGCAGCTGCCACTACTTGTGAATGCCAGTTGAGTGCGACGGGAGCGCCCGCACAAATTAATTTAAAATTGTGGAGTGATGCAAATTTAATGAAACGATAGAAGCAGCCCCAGTCGCAGTCGCAGCAGCGGCACAACCGAAACCGATACCGAAACCAGAAACCAGAAACCAAAACCGAACAACATGGGGACAAGAACAATAACCAAAATTAAAGCCGCACTAATGAGCACAGAGTCAGCCCGAAAGTGTAGCGAAAATGTGGCTACATGGTGCATGGCATGGCATGGAGTAACGGTCCATGACATGACCGCTGTGGCCACTGGATGCTGCACTGGATGCTGCACTGGATGCTGCATGCCTGCCAGATGCGAACGACATCTGTGTGTAAAGTTTGATTTTGGCCAAAGTTAAAGTGGTTTTCCAGCGGGCTGTTCCGGCATGAAGTGCAGCCGCAGTTGCCTGTCCGCATTGGGCCAAATGTGCATGAAAGTCACGTTTCAGGCCGGTGAGAGCCTGTATTGGGGGGTAACTATCCGGTACACTATCCGGATGCAAATGATGTGATGTATTCGAAAATAGACATTCCACTTTGCACAGAAATGATTTAATCAGGAGTCGCCCTGGCGATGCGACGGCAGCAGCTGATCTCATCGACGGGCATGAAGCCAGAGTCGCCCATAAAGCGGAGCGATACGTGGCCCGATGGGAATACAGTCAGCCAGGTGATGGAGCCGTGGTTCAGACTGAGCCGTGTCCAGGCTTCGGGGGGCAACTGAAGGGCACGCAGCGTCACATACCGGATGACATTGGCATGGCAAACGATCAGGTGGTACGTGTCCCGCTCCTGGTCGGACGGGGCACGGTAGAAGTAGCGCTTGAAGGCGGCCTCAATGCGTGGTCCATCACGTCGAACGAAATCCTGCAGCTTCTGCGAGCTCCCTCTCTGCGGGGGATCACCCAGATACGGTGCTCCCTCTCGCAGCTCATCCGTATTGATTACTTGGCAGGAATCAAAGTCGAGCTCTTTCAGTATGATCGCCGACGTCTGCTGGGCCCGCGTCATGGTGGAGACCACCACCTGGTCCCAGCTGATGTTAAATTGCCGCAGGCGCTGCCCGGTCCACTTGGCCTGCTGTCGCCCCAGGTCCGTGAGCTGCTCGCCGCTAGTCGGCGTCTTTTTGTAATGCCCGTGCCTCACCATGATGATGTGTCGCGAGGCCTTCGACTTCTGTCCCTTGCTCACTTGGGCTGCCATCGGATTGCTTTGGTCCCAGTCGTTGGTCCAGGTGCCCTTGGACTCCCCAGTCGCACTCCCATCCCCCACACAGGTGGACCGCTGGCGACCGATTAGCCAAAAGCTCGTGGTGGGGGCCAGTGAACGGAAACGGAAACGGAGAGTGTGCATGACTTAGAGTAAACCATTTAATTTGTTCTATCTGTCAGGCAAAGTCATACAGATAACTCAGTGCTGGGATATAAGATATAACCAATCCGCTCCGGGACCGAGAGTGGATAGAGAGGATTCTCCGAAGCAGCAGACAATTATCGGCCAGGAAGTTTGGTTCTCCAGTGGCTTTTGTCGCACTCTCTGCGAGCTATTTTAAAAGTTTATGCAGATCCTTTTATCCGCCAGCCACCTACCAGTTGCCGCTCCTCCCGCTCCCGCTCCCGCGACCAGTCTTGATTAGCATTTGTTAGAGAAGTGGACTCCTGAAAAACCTTTCAGGTCTTGCCAAGTTTTGTGTCAAAGTTATTTCACCCTTGGCAGTACACTCGGCGGCAACTTTCGAGCTGTGCGCTGGCAAACTTTGCGCCCTCCACAATCAGCAGGCAAAGGGGCAAATAAGTCAGCCAGGTGATGTCTTCGAAATACTCGACCGGGTCGAGTACCCTTTTCCGATGCACATCCCATGGATCCCAGGAAAACGAGCAGCAAAGCCTATCGTGAACGGTCTCGCTGGTTAAATAACTTTTGCCAAGTTTCTGCATCATTTCATTTCAGAGTCCAGAGTCCAAAGAGGCATGTCTGGGATTCCACAAGTGGCTGCTGCCGTGTAGGGACTGAAATTCTGTTGAACGTCAGATTTGGCCTAATGAAGTTGACTGGAACTTTTGACAGGGCTGGGAGCTGGGAGCTGGCACGAGACGTCATCGATGGGTGACCACATAAAATTGAAATTAAACAAGTTTTCTGGGCAGTTTAAGCCAGAGCCCAGAGCCCAGAGCCCAGGCCCAGGCACGGGCATGTAATAACATCGTAACGTTCCAATCCTTGGGCTTTTACAAGTTCTTTTCCGTGTCGCCTTCACTCCCACTTGCAGGTACACATGCACACACATTTCATCTCCCCCTGTGTGGCCTTGTCGGAACTTTTCTTCAGGCCTGGCCGTTAAAATAAGCCACTTGAGGTTACCATAAAACAGATCTCGCATTGTGCGCTGGCTCTGTCCTAGAAATGTGCGGCTTACTGGAGCAAGGTGTTGGCCTAAATGTGTATGTGTGAATGGCAGTGGCAGTGGCTTAGGCAGTGGCTGTGTGTGTGTGTGTGCCTGAGTATGAATAGCGGGCAAGTCAATTTAAAGTTTTATTCATGTCGGAAGAGCTTCTTTGAGCAGCATAAATGCATTGAGATATATGTACGTATGGGACAGGTTTAATTTCGAATTTAATTTGCAAACTCAAAGCTGTGGAAAAAGTGTGAATTGATTTCCCACTGACTATGCGACTGTCAAAGTTTAGCAGTCACTTTGACTGAGCATCAAACTAGCTTGAGGTTTCCAAGCGATGGCTCAGCTGTGAGCGTAAAATTCACTTAAAATATTTACACTTAATTACTCTATGGCCATATCCGAATGTTTTGCCATTCTAATTAACAAAAATATTTCATTTCCAGCCATTTCACTGGGGAATTTACTTTATCCTCCTACTGCCTGCCCCTGCCCATGCCCATGGCTCTGTTCGGATCTCCAGCTCAATCTCTGCCCCGTCCAGGCCTCGGCCTAGCACTCGACTGTAGTTTATGTTTTCAATTTCAGCAACATTAAACTGAAACGAGAAGAGATATTAAATTAATAATTTCGTGCCGTCTGCCATCTGGAAACTGGGACACTGATGGAATGGGAATGGGAGGGGAAGGGCCGTTGACACCATTTCCTTTTTGAATTTGCAAACAAATTTACACGAATTTGATTATTATTATGATGGCAATTTGCAAAAATGTCATCCCTCAAGCAAGAGAAACGAACAGGCGGAAATTTCTCATTGCACAAAGTGGAGCACCAGGACGTCCACCATGCAGGCTGACCAGTGCCGGAAAGGTTCCCTGCCCCACCCACACCCACAGCCACAGTCCTAGGGTGTAGTCCTTGGCATCAATTGTCCTCCTGTGCAACGTGGAGTGGAGTGGACTGGCATCTCCTTATCTCGGTCGCCCATAATTATGGTGTACATCTTGGCTGGGCGGCCCACCCCCGTTCTTGGCATCCTGCTGCAGGATGTTCAATTTTCGCTTGCCTTTTGCGGCGCTTTGTCATTTTGATTTCCTTATTTGGATTGGTGTGTACTCCTTTCCCGCCGCCGCCGACTTTTTGCATGGCTTTAAGTGGCCCCACAGGCCCCAGTCATGACGCTGGCGCTGGCGCTATCCTGGAGCGGCTGTGACTGGGCTAGCAAATTATCTTGTGGCAAAATCAAAAGTTTTCCGCTTTCGTTGGAGGCTGGGGAAATCGTGTCAAGGACACAGAACGCTCGCGGTCCCCCTCCCCCCCATCCACTGCAGAGGCGGCAGATTCAAGAAATTATTGCGGAAACGGATAGCAGAGCCCGCAAACATTGTTTAACTTTCATTGCGGCCACCCCACCCCGTTCTCCTGCTTCTGTTCCCGCTCCTGGCTTGTGCTCAAATAAAACCCACAAAACAACGAAAACAAAAAAAAAAAAGAAAGCAAATTTCCAATGAAAGCCAAGTTTTCAGCTCTTGTTTGACCTTGCGCTTTGTGTGTGTGCTGTAATGCTGTAAGGCAGAGCACCCTCGAGGTCTTGAAGTTTACTTGGGAGCAAATATTGAATTGGCAGAGTTGAAAATTCGCCTGAATTCAGCAAATATACTCAAACTCAACTATTTGCGAATTTACAATGTGGCTGCGGAATAACAGATTATTTTCTTTGCATTTCCCATGATTTGCCAGCCAGGTTGGAGACTGACTTTCTGCTTTAAAGTAAACTACAAAGAAAATATCATTTTACTTTTTTATCACCCCCATGAATCCCGTTCCTAATGCATCTCTCAGTGCTGTGCTGTAAATCTCTTGGTATATTGCAAAAGCGACACGCTTTGAAATGAAAACAGCTTGTAGTTGCAGGGGAAAGAAATGGGACACCTACACAACGGAAACAGCCAAGATGTGGGCAGAGAGGGGACCAGGAGGGCTTACAGTACAGTACAACTTGAGCCAACACACACAACGCACAACGCACAACACACACTCATGCCACACTTAATAGCTCATACGCCCTGTTGGTCTTTTGTTGACTGCCCTCGTTTGTTTACGGTTTAGTGGATTAATTCTGGAGAGAGTACGGAATAAAAAAAAATAAAGAAAAATAAAACCGACTTTGGAAACAACAACAGCAGCAGCAGCCAGTGTTGGGGCAATTTGTTGCTGTTTTGAAGTCAAACAAATCTGCATAAGGTAAGGCCGAAAGCTGCAACAATTTATGGCCAAGGAATAACCCAGCAACAGGACCAAGTCGAGAGGGTTTCCTAATAAATTATTTATTTCCGTCTGCTCTTTTCGCTTAAGCCTGTGCGCTTGCAGTTCCTCTTGTTTGTTCGTATTTAATGTGATTGTTTTTCTAGGTTTCTAATGGAAATGCAATTAGATTGCATTTCAAAACTAATTACATTTCGACCACTTTTTGTGGTTTCTTTGATTTTTCCAAAAGTTTCAATTAAAGTGCATTCCAGAAGAGCCCTCGTCGCACTCACACCCCCGCCCACACCCACATTTTATGATTACTCATAAAACTTTCTCATTTCATGATTTTCGGTCTCTCGAAAACTTTTGTGTAATTTAATTTGTAGGCTCTTGTCGTCCCCTAGTCGAGTGGCAGCAGAAAAGGCAGCGTTTTCATCATGAAAGCTTGCAAATGAAAGCGGGGGAAAATGCATTACAACTGGTACTAAGCATGGCCATAAAATGTACATTGTACACATAAAAGAGCATATCCACAGATTGCCCTGAAGGATCAAAGGCTTTATGCATCAGCTGGCGTTCAGGGACGGGGATTTGCTGCCCCGAAAAATGCAATAAATATTCATATTTAACAATAATAATTCATCTATAGTGCCGTCTAAATCAAGCTAACAAAAGGGAATGGTCGACAAAAAGTACACGCACACGTTTATGGTCTGGCAATCGAACAATTCGTTGGGGTCTGCATCAGCCTGCACATGGTCAGGGAATGTGAACCACTGCATGCCGTTCACTGGCCTTTATGGGTGAATGGGAATTCGAGTGGTCCTTGCAACTGTTTTACTCTATGTGCGGCTAGCTATGGTTATTACTAGCCAGTTCGTTTTACTCTATTACTTCAAGCATTTCCATTCATTATACATGTGTAAAGGCGAACCAATAATCTTGTTTGATGTGAAAATTTGAGGAAAACTTTCTATGCCAAACACACTCAATCACAGGGAAAGTTTCAATGCATTTGTTCAAGCTGCCAGTGCATAGATTCCAAGTGCAATCCGTATCCATAACGCCGAAATTCGTGTAGTGTGCATCCGTGTGGGTTTGAGTGTTTTATTATCGATTGAAACATGCATGTCGATTGTAGATCTTATGCATGAGTGCGCTGCCAACGACTTGGATGTTTGGTTTTGGTGGGCTAAATATTCAGTCCTGTCAGCTGGATAATATATGTAACTAGGTACGAAAACCGAGGGTAATTCATGTCAAACGAAAACATTTAAATGGCAGGTCCGCCAACAGCAACAACACCATTCTTAAAGTGGTCTGAATATGGCGTCTTTGCGTTTAATGATCTATGCAAAATAATAGAAAAAGCAAACAACAAACTAGGGGGAAAGAGGAGAGAGAACTATGAAATGCATCTATCACAGTTTGGAGCCGCTGGAAGTGATCAGATGCGAGGATCTGGTGGATAGCGGGTATTCTGGAATAGCTGAGGAACCGAATCCCCGGGGAGGCGGCTACAGCGTAGCCCTGAGAAAAAATTTCGGGCAGCGCATGCGCGCTAGCTTCGTCGGTTTCGTTTTCTGCTATACGTACCATTCTAACCTCTGATCTGGCAGCAACATGCTTCGGCCCGTTAACGGCTACCACTCTGAGCGTTTGCCTCATCAAACATTTTTGTGCCATTCTTTGCGGCAAAAAAAAAAGTAATGTATTTGCCCCCCTTAGAGAATACCCCGAAGAAAATTGATTAC